TATGATTTGATCATATTCTGCCAGCCACCCTTTCTGAATAGCAGAAAGAAATGGTGTAATGGGACATCAGCCAGACTCTGTGTCTGGACTGATTTCAAGGCAGTGACAGATCCTTTGAGGGTCACCAATTTGTTGTAGGTTTAGCATTTTAAAATAAGGAAAGGAATGTCATGATCGTTCCTTTTTTTTTTTTTTTGCACTGCAATTTGATGTTCCTGTTCAAAATGTTCTGTGTAAATTAATTTTGTGTGTGTGAATGAGGAATGTGTGGGTTAAGAGATAAGTGTGAAGGCCATCGCTGAACCAGATGGTCTAGGGAGGAGCCGGAGACAGATGCAAGGGTGCCAGGAGGCTGCAACACGCCCCTATTGAAGCATTGGAGGGCAGATTGACAACTCTAAAGATGAGACAGGCACCTATCAATGGGGACAAGATAGCTGTGATCAAAACCAGCATGGGATAACTCCCTGAAGAACATGATGTAAAGAATGTGAAGGACAATTTAAGAAAACAAGCACTCGTCAAACAACAATTGATTACAGCATGATGGTGCAAAACTCATTGGCCCCAGTGAAGGAAAATCACTATATAAACAGGGTGCCTTGCCATGAAACTTTGGGTTCGTCCTACCAAGACTTCCCCTGAGCACCGTGTCGTGACCAACGGAACCGGGCTCCTCCCCACTTCTGATCAACCTAGCTGGCCACTAGGTTGATCCGGACTCTGGACTGGTAACTATAACATCGACTGGTGGGACAGTGTGTGTGTGTGTGTGTGTGTGTGTGGTGTGACTGAATGCATATGCTAATGATTGTATCTTCAATAAAGGCGGCATATTGCCTTTTGCCCGAAAAAAGATCCCATGTGCTTCTTATCAGCATAACATTTTTGGTGGAGAATTTCAAAAGGGGGAAGACATGCACTGTGATTGTTGAAAATACTGCCAAATATTGCTAAAAGGTATACCGTACATATAAAGTGATCAGTCATTCAGGTGTGCACACCCCTGGTCATAGAAGTGCTGGGCAATAGGGGGAGGATTAGAATCCTCACTCTGACCCATCTGTCGGGGATAACTATACGGATAAGATATATACAAACCGTCCAGGTATATACACCCCCGGTTGTAGAGGCGCTGGACCATAAGGGGGAGGATTAGAGTCCTCGCTCCTACCCATATGTCAGGGAAAAATTGCATAGGTGAATATACTCTCAGCCGTAGCAGGATCGAGCCCAAAAGGTAGGGGGCTTAGCATTTCCCCCTCCTGCTCTGTCAGGCAGAGTTTTTAGTGGGTATAGACTTTTGTATTGTGTAAGTCCCAGCACGAGCATGGGCACAGAAGTGTTATAGAGGTAAAAGAGATTTATAAAGAAATATGTTTAGGCGAAAGGAGTCCCCTAAGGACAAAGCTCAAGAAGCGCAGAAAAAACTACCATTCATACAGGAAATGACTTCTTTTAAGACAATTTTGCAAAAGTTTGGGCAGAGCTCATGGACTGAACAAGCATTAGCTGATGTCCATACTATAGCTGTTTTGGAAGATAGATTGGCAAAATATCTGTAGGTCTACAGGCCATCGACCCCGATAAAAAGAGACTCGGCTGCAATCTGGCTATTGTGAGAAGCATGCAATGAGGCATTCCTTCGCTTGGCTAGCTGCCAGGAGGAGAACGCTGCACTGCATGAGAAAATTGATGTATCTGAAGGAGAAACTGATAAATGGAAAATACTGGCCGCTGGAGTTCAAAGCCAGTTAGACATTCCCAAAGATACCCTAAGAGAAGTTAAAATAAAAGAGAGGGGATTATCTTAACAAATAGAGGGAAAAGATAAAATACAAAGAGAGAATCAGGTTTTGTAGGGAATGAAAAAGAAATTAACATTAGAACAAGGTAGAGCCCCTGCCCATCACAACCACTGTGAATCTATTATTAAGCATCTTAAAACAAAATTGGGGTTTGCCACCCACCAAGTAGCGGCTGTGACAGTAGGAGAATGGGGCCAAGCCCAAGATAGTGAGGTCCCCGAATGGGAGGGAGAATGGGACCGTAGTAAAGCTTGGAATGGAGATATATGGGATGAGCCCCAGGGATTGAAACCTATTGAACAAAACCCTGTCACAGCCATACGACGAACTATAGTCACAACACCCGCAGAGGGAGGGGGAAGTACAACTGTTACCACTGACCCTGTATCAGCCTGACTTAAAAGCATGGCTGTTAGTTTGGGACCCCTAAAAAAGGACAATTTCTCTGGATGGTGTTCTAATGTGTTTTTGCTTGCTATAAGGGAAGAGCTGAACGCCATTGAAGTCCGCCGCTTGATGGGCGTCTGTGTGGCTTCAGAGATTCGGCGGGTCCTAGATAGGATTAGAGTCGATGAGAATAATAGCATATTGACTCTAATGGGACTTTTTGGAGAGCAAATAGACAGGGGCAATTTTACAGCACCAGCTGTAGCCACAACCCAGGAGCCCAATGAAAACCCCGAGAATTATTTAACCCGATGGGGTCTGATGCAGATAATGGCCGGCTTAACACCGTTGGGAAAGGCCATAGCGCTGGATATAGTGGCATTCAGTGTACAGAGACTTAAGAGACTGTGCTGCTTCCCTAACCCCCTACTATTCCAGGAGACTTGGAATTTGGCAAGAGGGTCGCCACCTCACACCACCTGGGACAAAATGGCTCCTAGACCCACATCCGATGCATCAGTCTGTAGCAGGAACTCGGTGAAATCGGGGCTGTGCAAGACGGGTTCTTCAGGGCTTGAAAAGCCTCCTCACAAGCTTTGGTCCACTGGATCATGTTTGGGCTGCTGTTCTAGAGCAGATAAGTGAGAGGGGCCACAACGGTTGAGAAAACCAGAATAAATCAGCAGTAGAAACCAAGCTAGTCCTAAAAACTGGTGTACCTGTTTCCTCAAGGAAGGGGCATGGCACGTCTGGAGGGCCTGAACCTTATTGACCAAGGGTCGCACCCTACCTTTTCCTAAAGTGTACCCGAGGCAGGTTGTTTCATCCTTGCCCAAGTGACATTCAGCAGGATTTGCTGTCAGGCCAGCCTCCTGGAGGGATTGTAACATGGCCATCACATGCTTTAGGTGGTCCTGCCAGTTTCGACTGTAGATACCTGCAACATCGTCTAGGTATGTGGCAGCATATTGGCTATGGGATTGGAGGATCCGGTCTGCTAGCCGCTGGAATGTTTCCAGAGCCCCATGCAACCCAAAGTGCATTGTCCAGAACTGAAAGGGGATGGAAAAAGCTGTCTTTTCCCTGGATTCTGTGAGGGGGATCTGCCATCACCCCTTTGTCAGATCCAGAGTAGTGATGTACTCTGCTTCCCCTTGCTGGTCAAGAAGTTCATCAACATAAGGCATCAGGTACGCATCAAATTCTGAGACTGCATTGAGCTTCTGGAAATTGATACATAACCAGGTGGTCCCACCAGGCTTGAGGAGCAACATTACAGGGCCTTTCCAGTTGCTGCATGATTCTTTGATTACTCCCAGTTCTAGCACTAATTGGAGTTCTCACTTCATGGTTTCCCTCAACTTCGGGGAAAATTGTTGAGGGTTTTCTCTGACTTTAAGCCCTGGTTCCGTCTGACTGTTATGGGATATTAAATGGGTCCATCCAAAGTAGGTAGAAAACATGGAAGAGAAGGTGGTGATCACCTGTCGAGCCTGGGTTCTCTGGTTTGGGGTGAGGGTGTTTCCAGTCTTGACCATCCCTGGCTCCGAGTCTTCGACAACCTGCAGGCCTAATTGGGGTTCAGGTGCGTAGGGGGCAATTAGTAGACTTCCTTGGGCTTTCCATGGTTTTAAAAGATTCACGTGTGCCTGTCACTTGTCTGGTTGTCAGATTTCATAACTCACCTGCTTCACTCAGCACACCACCTCATGGGGCCCTTCCCAGCGGGCTGGGAGTTTTGATTTGGAGCTGGGTAATAACAAGAGAACATGATTGCTGGGTTGGAACTCCTGGAGGCCAACCCTTTAATGATAGGTAAGGTTAAGGTTTTATCACGGACAAACATGGGGACTGCTCCAGCCTGGGCCCACCGAGCCCTGGGGGGCTGACCTAGCCCCAGCTGCTGCTCCGGCCTAGTTCCTTCGGCTCCTCCATCCCTATACTCATCCCCAGCTACTGCTCTAGTCCTAGCTCTAGCCGCTGCTCCAGCCCCAGTGACAGACTGCTGGCCACTGCTTCAGCCCCAGCTTCTGCCCCGGCCTCTGCCCCAGCCCTGGTGGCTGACCACCGGCCACTACTCCAACCCCACTACTACTCCTGCAGCGGGGCCAGGCAGGGGGCTGAAGCCAAAGAAGTCATGGAGGTCCATTAAAGTCACAGAAGCCCGTGATCTCTGTGACAAAATCATACCCTTAATTATAGGCTGAGTCCTGGGTGCTCTGGGTGTGTCGAAGGTTCTCCCTGGCAAATGAGCCCAGGATGTCAAGCTTCTCCCATAGGGCCAAGACATATTGTATGATGTTACTGGCCCAAGATGGTTGTTCTTCCCACATGTTTTGAATGCTGGGATCCACACTAACGCAGGTCATTGTGTCTTTGCTTTTTTCACTGTAGTATCTGAACACCTCTTACCAAAAGGTGTGTTCACTCACCACACCCCCTGTGGGGCAGGGAGCGTGCACTGTCCGCACAGAGCATTCAGGGACCTTGCCCAAGGTGATCCAGGCAGTCTGTGGCAGAGACTCAAAATGCTCATCAGACTCACATCTGATGAAGTGAGCTGTGGCTCACGAAAGCTCATGCTCAAATAAATTGGTTAGTCTCTAAGGTGCCACAAGTACTCCTTTTCTTTTTGCGAATACAGACTAACAGGGCTGTTCCTCTGAAACCTGTCAAAATGCTGGGAAATAGCCACTGGGGGGCAGCAGAGGCTAAGGAAAGCGAAAGCGAAAGTTACATTTGTAACCAGAGGGGAACCGCCCCAGGAACTGCAGTGGGGTTGCTCCTGATCTGTGCCAGGTGAGTGCGGGAGAACCAGCCCCAGGGACTCCAGTGGGGTTACTCCTGATTTACACCGGGTGAGTGCGGGAGAACCAGCCCCAAGGACTCCAGTGGGGTTACTCCTGATTTACACCAGGTGAGCGAGAGGAGAACCAGCCCCAAGGACTCCAGTGGGTTACTCCTCATTTAAACTGGGGGGAGCGAGAGAGGAGGGCAGGACTGCCACGGCCCAGTTGCGTTCCACCCCTGAGGGCATTTGCTGAGGCTGGAGCCCGCTTTCAGGACAGGCTCAGCAGGTGCATATGATGGGAAATCCTCCACCCGGTTCACAGGGATGGAAGACAACTGGCTGAACTGGGAGTCCTGGGCCCTCGGAGTGGCTGCAGACAAGAATCGCCCCAGAGCTAGGCCTGGCCAAGAGTGGCAGTGGGGGACTGGGCGCACCCTCTCATGCACTAGGGGATCAGCTCCACTGCACTGCCAGGGGCTGCAGGTGCCGAGAGGGACTCCGGGATCACTCCTGATACTGTCTGTGCATCCTATACACCCGTCTGTCTGTCTGTGAATCCCATACACCCTGTCTGTCTGTGCATCCTATACTCCCCTCTGCCTATGCATCCCATACAACCATCTTTCTGTCTGTGAATCCCAAACACCCCTCTATCTGTGCATTTGAAACACCCCTCTCTCTCTGCATCCCAAACACCCCCCTGTCCATCTTTACATCCCATACACCCTGTCCCTGTTTGTTAATTGAATACACCCCTCTGTCTGTGCATCCCATACACCCCTCTGTCCATCTGTTCATCCCATACACCCCTCTGTCTGTCTGTGCATCCCAGACACCCTCTGTCAGTCTGTGCATCCCATGCACCGAGTCCCTGTCTGTGCATCGAATACACCCCTCTCTCTGTGCATTCCATACAACCCTCTGTCTGTGCATACCAAATATTCTCTGTCTGTATGTATATCCTATCCAACCCTCTATCCATCTGTGCATTCCATACACCCCTCTGTCTGCATGTATATCCCATACAACCCTCTGTATGACTGTGCATCCCAGATACCCCTCTGTCCATCTGCACATCCCATACACCCTGTCCCTGTCTCTGTATCGAATACACCCCCCGTCTGTGCATCCCATACACCCTCTGCCTCTCTGTGCATCCCATACACCCCTCTGTCTGTCTGTACATCCCATATTCCCCTCCATCTGTGCATCCCATACTCCCCTCTGCCTATGCATCCCATACAACCCTCTTTCTGTCTGTGCATCCCAAACACCCCTCTGTCTGTGCATCTGAAACTCCCCTCTGTCTGTGCATCCCAAACACCCCCCTGTCCATCTTTACACCCCATACACCCTGTCCCTGTCTGTTAATTGAATACACCCCTCTGTCTGTGCATCCCATACACCCTCTGTCTGTGCATCCCAGATACCCTCTGTCGGTCTGTACATCCCGTGCACCTAGTTCCTGTCTGTGCATCGAATACACCCCTCTCTCTGTGCATTCCATACAACCCTCTGTCTGTGCATACCAAACATCCTCTGTCTGTATGTATATCATATCCAATCCTGTATCCGTCTGTGCATCCCATACGCCCTCTCTCTGTGCATCCCATATGACCTCTCTCTGTGCATCCCATAAACCCCTCTGTCTGTGCATCCCATACACCCCTCTGTCTGCATGTATATCCCATACACTCTTTCCCTGTCTCTGCACTGAATACACCCCCGTCTGTGCATCCCATACACCCTCTATCTGTCTGTGCATCCCATACACTCTATGTCTGTCTGTGCATCCCATACAACTCTCTGTCTGTCTGTGCATCCCAGACATCCTCTCTCTGTCTTTATATCCCATACACCTTCTGCCTCTCTGTGTATCCCATATGCCCTCTGTCTGTGCATCCCTTACACCCATTTGTCCGTCTGTACATCCTATACACCCTCTTCCTGTCTCTGCATCCCATACACCCCTCTGCCTGTCTGTGCATCCCATACACCGTCTTTCTGTCTGTACATCCCAAACACCCTCTGTCCGTCTGTTCATCCCACACACACCCCTGTCTGTGCATCCCAAACATTCCTCTGTCTGTGCATCCCATACACCAGTTTGTCCGTCTTTACATCCAATACACCCTGTCCCTGTCTGTGCATTGAATACACCCCTCTGTCTGTGCATACCAAACACCCTCTGCCGGTCTGTGCGTCCCATACACCCCTCTGTCTGTGCACCATCTACACCCCTATGTCTGTCCATGCATCCCATACTCCCCGCTGTCTGTGTATCACATATACCCTTCTGTCTGTCTGCACATCCCTTACATCCCTCTGTTTGTCTGTGCATCCCATACACGCTCTTCCTGCCTGTGCATCCCATACAACCTGTGTGTGTCTTTACAGCCCATGCACCCCTCTGTCTTTCTGTTCATCCCATATACCCCCGTGTTTGTCTGTGCATCTGAAACACCCTTTCTGTGCTTCCCATACACCCTTTGTCTATTTGTGCATCCCAAACACCCCTCTGCCTGTCTGCGCATCCCAAACACCCCTCTGCCTGTCTGTGCATCCCATACACCCTCTGTCTGTCTGTGCATCCCATACACCCTCTGTCTATCTTGCATCCCGTACAACCTCTGTCTATCTTGCATCCCGTACAACCTCTCTGTCTGTCTGTGCATCCCACTCACCAATCTGTCTGTCTGTTCATCCCATACAACCTCTCTCTGTCTGTCTATGCATCCCATACACCCCTCTACCTCTCTGTGCATCCCATGCACCCTCTGCCTGTCTGTGCAACCCTATATTCACCTCTGTGTCTGTCTGTTCATCCCACAGATACTCAGCCTGCACTGATACCACGCTCTGCCCACACAAGGGTTGAGAATCATGGCCCCAAACACAGCCTCACACAGCAGATTTGTTCCATCCATGGCTCCTGGGCCCCGTGTGCCTTCAAAACTCTGCAGCCACTCCAGCACAAAAGGCCGTCCAGCATCAGGCCTGGCTTAGCCCTTCCTAAAATCTGGGCACGCTGACAGGCCATGCGGTGGGGCTGGTTCGGGAGCCAGAATTTCCTTTCCATGGGGAATTCTGACAGGCTGAATAATGTTTCTGATCTAAACTGGTGTGACACCCCCCATTTCTCCCCTGCCCCCAAAATCCCCATGAAATGAAAATTCTGCAAAATCTGGATGTGGGACTGTTGAAATATTTTGTTTCGTTCATCATTTCTTTTCTATACAAATACCTGCATTTGGGATGTAAACTGGTTCATTTCAACCTTATTGTTTCAATTTGTTTCATTTAGAGTGTCCTATTGTATATTAAATTGACTATTATAAATATTGTTAGATTTATTATGATATGTATACTATGGTCTAGATTATATTATATTGACTAATATATAGTGCATATTACATTGATTATTATAATAAATGCTAAGTAGGCTCAGAAGGATTTGATTTGTAACTGTAAATGTCAGTAAATGTCGATTCACTAAACACACACACACTGATGAAAAAATATTTCCCTCGATGATACTGGAAATTTGCAGATAGGCAAAATAAGAATACTGCTGCTTGAGAACTTATTAGAGTTATTTAAACATGCTTACTTTGTATGTTTTGCCAAGTGATGTGAACAGTTTGTGTTTTACCAGTTATAAAGTGTTCACTTGCTATATCTCAGTGCCTACTGTCGTTAAATAATTATCTGACCCCATCCCCAATAATTTCCCATCGCTGTGAAAATTAATATAAATAAAAATGGGGAAAAATGTTTAAACCCATGATTTGGCACAACTGTGAAAAGTTAAATCGATAAAAACTGAAAAAAAATGCTTAAAAGGAACTTTGATTTCATCCATCGAAATTATAAAAGCAAAAATTGAATTGTCCCAAGCCTATATAAGTATTATTTTATAATATATTACATTTATTAATCTGTATATGATATACATTATTAAATACTGTGCATTATATGGAATATTAAATAATATATATATGATTTCAGACTTTAATGTGATAAAAGTCATAGTGAAATTAATTGAAACAAAACATTTCCAAGGCAGTATTTGACATGTTGACGTAGAATCATAGAATCATAGAATATCAGGGTTGGAAGGGACCTCAGGAGGTCATCTAGTCCAACCCCCTGCTCAAAGCAGGACCAATCCCCAATTAAATCATCCCAGCCAGGGCTTTGTCAAGCCTGACCTTAAAAACTTCTAAGGAAGGAGATTCTACCACCTCCCTAGGTAACGCATTCCAGTGTTTCCAGTGAAAAAGTTTTTCCTAATATCCAACCTAAACCTCCCCCAGTGCAACTTGAGACCATTACTCCTTGTCCTGTCCTCTTCTACCACTGAGAATAATCTAGAACCATCCTCTCTGGAACCACTTCTCAGGTAGTTGAAAGCAGCTGTCAAATCCCCCCTCATTCTTCTCTTCTGCAGACTAAACAATCCCAATTCCCTCAGCCTCTCCTCATAAGTCATGTGTTCCAGACCCCTAATCATTTTTGTTGCCCTTCGCTGGACTCTCTCCAGTTTATCCACATCCTTCTTGTAGTGTGGGGCCCAAAACTGGACACAGTACTCCAGATGAGGCCTCACCAATGTCGAATAGAGGGGGACGATCACGTCCCTCGATCTGCTCGCTATGCCCCTACTTATACATCCCAAAATGCCATTGGCCTTCTTGGCAACAAGGGCACACTGCTGACTCATATCCAGCTTCTCATCCACTGTCACCCCTAGGTCCTTTTCCGCAGAACTGCTGCCTAGCCATTCGGTCCCTAGTCTGTAGCTGTGCATTGGGTTCTTCCGTCCTAAGTGCAGGACCCTGCACTTATCCTTATTGAACCTCATCAGATTTCTTTTGGCCCAATCCTCCAATTTGTCTAGGTCCCTCTGTATCCTATCCCTGCCCTCCAGCGTATCTACCACTCCTCCCAGTTTAGTATCATCCGCAAATTTGCTGAGAGTGCAATCCACACCATCCTCCAGATCATTTATGAAGTTATTGAACAAAACCGGCCCCAGGACCGACCCCTGGGGCACTCCACTTATACCGGCTGCCAACTAGACATGGAGCCATTGATCACTACCCGTTGAGCCCGACAATCTAGTCAACTTTCTACCCACCTTATAGTGCATTCATTCAGCCCATACTTCTTTAACATGCTGACAAGAATACTGTGGGAGACCGTATCAAAAGCTTTGCTAAAGTCAAGAAACAATACATCCACTGCTTTCCCTTCATCCACAGAACCAGTAATCTCATCATAGAAGGTGATTAGATTAGTCAGGCATGACCTTCCCTTGGTGAATCCATGCTGACTGTTCCTGATCACTTTCCTCTCATGTAAGTGCTTCAGGATTGATTCTTTGAGGACCTGCTCCATGATTTTTCCGGGGACTGAGGTGAGGCTGACTGGCCTGTAGTTCCCAGGATCCTCCTTCTTCCCTTTTTTAAAGATTGGCACTACATTAGCCTTTTTCCAGTCATCCGGGACTTCCCCCGTTCGCCACGAGTTTTCAAAGATAATGGTCAATGGCTCTGCAATCACAGCCGCCAATTCCTTTAGCACTCTCGGATGCAACTCGTCCCATGGACTTGTGCATGTCCAGCTTTTCTAAATAGTCCCTAACCACCTCTTTCTCCACAGAGGGCTGGCCATCTCTTCCCCATGTTGTGATGCCCAGCGCAGCAGTCTGGGAGCTGACCTTGTTCGTGAAGACAGAGGCAAAAAAAGCATTGAGTACATTAGCTTTTTCCACATCCTCTGTCACTAGGTTGCCTCCCTCATTCATTAAGGGGCCCACACTTTCCTTGGCTTTCTTCTTGTTGCCAACATACCTGAAGAAACCCTTCTTGTTACTCTTAACATCTCTCGCTAGCTGCAGCTCCAGGTGCGATTTGGCCCTCCTGATATCATTCCTACATGCCCGAGCAATATCTTTATACTCTTCCCTGGTCATATGTCCAACCTTCCACTTCTTGTAAGCTTCTTTTTTATGTTTAAGATCCGCTAGGATTTCACCGTTAAGCCAACGTTCCTGCAAAATATTTCAGTTATGATTAAACTGCTTTTTTCTATGGAAAAGGCGCCCCTCCCCACAAACTTCCCACCCACTTTTCCGCTCAGGCCCCTGATTCCTTTCTGCTTCTTTGAAACATGCAGCCCGTAGTCCCAGACATGCTGCCTGCCCAGCAAGGCTGTCCGGCATCCCCCAGCATGTAAGTGGACTATGGGGTTTGACCCCCCAGGCCTTCATTGCTCGTAGCAGGAGCCTCATCTGCTGGAGCTGAAGGAGTAGCTCCTCCAGGTGGTAGCAATAGCAGACTATTATCCTATTCCATGAAGCGGAGCCCAAAGGGACACATGCCCAGTGCTTGTGTGGGATCCCCGTGCAGCAGCTTTCCCTCGTGGGATGAACCGCCCTCCTGGTTCCCACTGGCACAAGAAGGGGGTCTTTGGGTGAGCAGCTATTCCCCTTCTCATCCCTTGTCTCCTTGGTTTCCCTTTAGTTCATTGGCTTCTGTCCAGCCCTGAGGCCAGGAAGAGCCGCCCTGCCAGATGCTGGGAGCCCGTCGCCCACATTGCAGTGCTGCCCTGCTCTCAGCCATCCTCCTCCTGCACGTTCAGGCTGCAGCGACCGGTAAGGAGACTTTGTCCTTAACAGTGCTGGGTGGTCACAGGGCCCCAGCTGGCTCTCACGTATGGCGGGGACAGTCTGGGGTGACTGCCCTGGTAATGCACCGGGCTCGGGGGTAAGAGCGCAGGATCTAGTGCTCACTCATATGCACAGTAACATGTGACAAATGGAGTCTCTGTCCATCCCTCCTTCCACCCCCCCCACATCCATCCCCATACACACCCCTCTATCCATCCCCCACATCCATCCCCATATACACCCCTCTATCCACCCACATCCATCCATCTCTCCATCCATCCACCCACATCCATCTCCATACATACCTCTCCATCCATCCCCCCACATCCATCCCCATACACACCCCACCATCCATCCCCCACATCCATCCCCATAGACACACCCCACATCCATTCCCATATATACCCCTCTATCTACCCACATCCATCCATCTATCCATCCATCCACCCATCCATCTCCCCACATCCATCCCCATACACCCCTCCATCCATCTCCCAACATCCATCCCCATACACACAAGCCTCCATCCATCCCCATACACACCCCTCTATCCATCCACCCGCATCCATCCCCCCCATCAATCCCCCCACATCCATCCCCATACACACCCCTCCATCCATCCACTCCTTCATTTTCATACACACACCCCTTCACCTTGGCCTCCACATACACACCATCCCTCCCTCCCTGCCTCCTTCCCCCCACTCTACCCCTCCCCCTCTTGCTCACAGTTCTCCCTGAGCCCCTCTCTCCAGGATCCGCTGGGGTGGCAGGTCTGGGGTCTGAGTTGTGTGAGAGGCAAAACCACTTCCCGCCAGTCCCCTCTGACCCCAGGCTTGTCTCTCTGCCCCTTTCCCCAGTGAGTTTCCAGGTTCTGGTTCCCGCCGGTCCCCTCTCTGCTCCACTGGGGGGCACCGTGCTGCTGCCCTGCCACCTCTCCCCCGCACTCAGTGCCCAGGCCATGCAGGTGAAATGGAGCCGGCCCCAGCTAGGCCAGGATGTCCACGTGTACCTGCCGGACGGGAGCGAGGTGCAGGGTGAGAGGTACCGGGGCAGGGCAGAGCTCCTGCGGGACGGGATCCAGAGTGGTAGCCTGGCCCTGCGGATCTGGAACCTCACCCTGTGGGACGAAGGACACTACCTCTGTGACTTCCAGTCTGACACCTACTTCAGCGTTGCTGCGTTGGAGCTCCGCCTGATGAGTGAGTGATCCTGGGGTGGGGAGAGCCGGATTCAGCCTGCGCAGCTCTGTGATAGGGAGGGGTGGCTGGCAGTGGGGACCTTCCCACGCAGCCTGCTGCAGTCACAGGCCAGAAAACTTCCCCCAGTGACTCCTCCGTCCAGCCCAGAGCAGAGCCTGTGGGGCAGAGACGTCCAGGCTGCATGTAAGGACCCCGAGGTATGTGGGCTCCACCACAGCCCAGCAGAGCCTCCTTCCATAGAGGACGCGCTGCAATGGCAAATATGTGCCCCCTATTTCCAGTGTGGATGTCTCAGCTCCAGTGCCCAGTCATCGGCTCGCCCTCTCCTTGTGTCTGAGGAGCCTTCTACCCTCAGAAACTCTTCCTTGGGTAGAGCCCAGCAAGAGAAGTGTTGTAAGCCACGGGAGGTAACAGTCCCGTTCTCTGTGGCGCTGGTGAGGTATCAGCTGGAGGCCTGTGTCCAGTTCAGGGCGCCGCAAAACCGTGGACAAGCTGGGGAGAGACCAGAGGAGAGCAACAAAACAATCAAAGATTTAGAAATCCAGCCCTGGGAGGAAAGGTTGAAAGAACGGGGCATGTCTGATCTTCAGAAGAGAAGACCGAGGGGGACCTGATAACAGCCTTCAGATATGTGAAGGGCTGTTACAAAGAGGACAGGGATCAAGTGTTAGCCATGGCCACTGAAGGTAGGACAAGAAGTAATGGGCTTAATCTGTAGCAAGGGAGATTAAGGTGAGATATTAGGGAAAACTTTGTAACTCTAAGGGGAGTTAAGCTCTGAACCAGGCTCCAAGGGAGGCTGCAGAAACCCCGTCACTGGAGAGTTGTAAGAACAGTTGGACAAACACCTGTCAGGGATGGTCAAGGTTTGCTTGGTTCTGTCTCAGCGCAGGGGGCTGGACATGATGACCTCTCAAGATACTATCCAGCCCTACATTTCTGTGACTCTAAGTCTTCTCTTGGGTAAACTAACTTACACAGGGGTGAGCGAGAGGGGAACCAGGCCCTGGTGTGACCAGAAGGAATGAGGAGAGAATGAAATCAAGGGAGAATTCCTGTTGATTTGTTTCCCCCAGACTCTGGCTCGGATCCCCTCCTCCACGTCAGTGCGTACAAGGACAAGGGGGTCTCGGTCACATGTCTCTCTGCAGGGTGGTACCCGGAGCCCAATGTGCTCTGGAGAAACAGCCATAAAAAAATCCTGAGTCCCGAGTCCGAACAGAAACTGCGAAGTGACAATGGCTTATTCAACGTCTCCAGCACCATGGTGATGACCAAGAGCTCGGATCCAGCACTGACCTGCGCCCTCAGCCCTGGCTTGCCCGGCCCAGAGAAAGTATCGGCCATTTTCATTTCCGGTGAGCTGCTGATGGAACAAGGAAACACAGAGCTGGAGCCAGATCTCCACTGGTGGAGAATGGCATTTATAGATAGTGAGAACTTTATGGCAGGGGCAATCTCTTACTGCGTATCAGTGCAGCGCCCGGCACAACAGGGCCTTGATCTCGGTCACTGTGTGTCTGGGCAGCATCTGGCATGACGGGGCCCTGATCTTGGTCGCTGTGTGTCTGGGCAGCGCCCAGCACAACAGGACCCTGAGCTCAGTTAGGCTGCTGGAGCCCTGGGACCCTCATCTATCATGCTGACCACTGTTGTCTCATTGTTCCATTGTATTCCACATCTGTCTTATCCATCTGTTTTGTCCTGTCTTATTCTTAGATTGTCAGCTGTTGGGGTAGAGACCGTCTTTTGGTTCCCGAGTTTGTCCAGCCCCTAGCACAGGAGGTTCCTGGTCCATGGCTAGGGACCTGAGGTCATATGAATAATAAATAATAATAGTGGAATATCCTGATTAGAGCTGGCTTGAAAATGTTCCAAGCAGATGCATTTTTGTTGGAAGCAAACTTTTACTGGGAATGTGTCTATTTCAACCAGATATTTGACTGGAATTAGTCAAATCAAATCATTTCAACATTCTCATTTTGTTCCAAAAATGTCAAAATGTTTCATTTCAGCGTCATCCTTTGGATTCAGTTTGTTTGGACTTTGATATTATATTGGCATATTCATACTCTACTAGATTAGAGTATATTTATATATTTTATATTAAACCCATAGGATATATTTGTATTTAATAGTTTGTATTGTAACCTTTTGACATTACCAAAACCAAAATGGTTTGACGTCATTGAAATGAAACGTTCTGAGGGCTCAGAACTGGATTTTTTAAAATTTTCTTTCCGACATTTCACCGTCCATTCCAACCAGGAACACCATCAAATTTTGATATATCGAAATTTCCGGTGGAATGGAAAGTCCATTTTCCAATCAGTTTGCCGATATTTCTAATGTTAACAAACAATCTCAGGGAATAAATATTAACAAAAAAACTGACTCCGGCCTTTTCTGTCTATCACAAAGGAGCTAAAAGGGTCCCACCATCTGTTACTAGGTTTGTTAATTATTTTGTGTCACATCTGCATGGGGCAGAAGGGGTCATGAGAGTTAACCTGTGTTCTTCTCTTCCCCTACAGACACTTTCTTCCCCAGAGTTTCCTCTTGGCGGGTCCCCCTCTATCTCATCCTGACGATATGCGTTTGCTTCCTCCCCTTGGCTTCCCTCTACCTATGGAGGATTCACAAAGAGAAAGGTAAAGCCTCTTGTTTAACCCCTTTGCCACCAGAAAGAAAGAAACGAGACATCCTTCAATAGATCTGCAGGTCCTTGGTGCTGTAGACCACATAGATCCTTGGATGCTCACATGATTTGACCCTCCCTCTTTCTACCTGGGCATATTTTTCCCATTGCCGGTAATTCATGTTAAGAGAGGAAAAGAAATTAATCTTCACTTGGGTGTCAAATGTTATAACGTTTCCCAGCCCTTCCGTTATCAGTATTTTCCTTGTGTGTACCCAAAGGCACTGACTTTTGTTTTTGTTGGTGGATGCTCCACCCCCTCTCTGCCCTGAGGACCCGCCCCCACTCTGTCCCACCTCCAAGACCCCCCGCCCCCTCTTCATACCTTCCCCCGAGCACCTCCTGCCCACTCGTCTCCGCCATCCCCTAAGTCCCCCTGCCTGTTCCTCTCCACCCCCTCCCCCAAGTGTCCCCCTGGCCACCCAGCCACTGCTTGCTCCTCTCCGCCCCCGAGCACTTCCCACACACACTCGCTCATCTCTTCCCCTTCCCCGAATGTCCACCCATCTGCTACTCGCTCCTCTCCGCCCCCTCCCCCAAGCGCTTCCCACCCACTCCTCTCCGCCCCCTCCCCCTAGTGACCCCCTGCCCGCCCACCCACCGCTCGCTCCTCTCCGCCCCTGAACGCCTCCCGCTTGCGCTGGCTACTCTCCGCCCCGCCCCCTAATGTCAGCCCACCTGCCGCTCGCTCCTCTCCGCCCCTCCCCCGAGCACCTCCCACCCACTCCTCCCCACCCCCTCCCTCGAGTATCCGCCAGCCCGCTGCTCACTCCTCTCCACCCGCAAGTGCCTCCTGCCCATGCTTGCTCCTCTCCGCTCCCTCCCCCAAGTGCCTCCTGCCCATTCTTCTCCGCCCCCTCCCCCGACTGTCCCCCTGCCCACCCGCCACTCTCTCTTCTCCACCCCCAAGAGCCTCCAGCCTATGCCCGCTCCTCTCCACCTCCTCCCCCGTGTCCCCCCATCCACCCACCACCGCTCACTCCTCTCAGCCTCCAAGTGCCTCCCACCCACTCCTCTGCCCCCTCCCCGGAGTGCTTCCCCCCTGCCGCCCACACGGTGCTCCTCCTTTCCATCCCTGAGTATCTCCCACCCGCGCTCACTCCTCTCCGCCCCCTCCCCCGAGAGCCTCCAGCCCACTCCTCTCTGCCCCCTCCCCTGAGTATCCCTCTGTCCACTCACCCACCGCTCGCTCCTCTCCACCCCTGAGCACCTCCCACCCACTCCTCTCCACCCCCTCCACCGAGTGTCCCCCTGCCCTCCTGCCACTTGCTCCTTTCCACCCCCAAGTGCCTGCTGCCCGCGCTCACTCCTCTCCGCCCCTCCCCCAAGTGTCCCCCTGCCTTCCCACCACTTGCTCCTCTCCACCCCCAAGTGCCTCCTGCCCGCACTCGCTCCTCTCTGCCCCTCCCAAGTGTCCGCCCACCCGCCGCTCGCTCCTCTCCGCCCCCTACCCCGAGCACCTTTTGTTTCCCCCGCATCCACCCACCACCGCTCACTCCTCTCTGCCCCTAAGCACTTCCTGCTCACTCCTTTCCATCCCCTCCCCTGAGTATTTCCTGCCTGACACTCACTCCTCTCCACCCCGAGTGCCTCCCACCTGCGTTCACTCCTCTCCGCCCCTCCCCCCGAGCGTCCCCCTGCCCGCCCACCCGCTGCTCGCTCCTCTCCACCCCCGAGTGCCTCCCACCTGCGTTCACTCCTCTCCGCCCCTCCCCAAGTGTCCCCCTGCCCGCCCACCCACTGTTCGCTCCTCTTCACCCCCAAGTGCCTCCCACCCACACTCGCTCCTTTCCGCCCCTCCCCCGAGCGTCAGCCCGCCTGCCTACCGCCACTCACTCCTCTCCGCCCCCAAATGCCTCCCGCCCACGCCTGTCTGCTCTCCTGCCATGAGGGCAAGTGACGGGGGGAGAGTGCGGAGGGGAGCGAGTGGGGAGGCAGGGAGAGGTGCAGCACAGGCGGGGCCACGGGGGAAGAGACCAAGTGGGGGGCAGGGCCACGGTCTGTGGGTATATTTTTTTTCCGTGGGCGCTTGAGCCCCGGAGCACCCCCAGTCATCACCTATGTGCGTACCACAGTAGCCTCTAGATACCCCTCCTGAGATCTGTGCCCCCTTGTGTCGGGCGCTGCACAGACACCCCGGAAGAGATGGTCCCTGCTGTCTTGAGAGTTAACAGCACCCTCAGGTGGCCAGTGCCCTGTCGGTGAATGTGTTTCTCCGTTTGTTTTACAGGTGCCATGTACACACTGCTAAGTAAGTTTCATTCTTCACCGTCAGCCATTCCTGGGGGTTGGGCCGCGTTAGCTCAGACTGGGTAATGACTCCTTTGAATCAGGCTCCACCCGGCGAGGTTTCTGGTGGCACCGGCGCAAGTGGCTCGGGGAAGGCAAAAGCCCTAGAAAATCTGGGGCTGGGGTATTACACCCAGAGAGGCAGTGAGTGGGTCCCCTAGGGCAGGGGCGGGCAAACTTTTTGGCCTGAGGGCCGCATCAGGTTTCTAAAATTGTATGGAGGGTCAGTTAGGGGAGGCTGTGCCTCCCCAAACAGCCAGGCATGGCCCGGCCCCCACCCCTATCTGACCACCCCCTCTGCTTCTTGCCCCCTGACGGCCCCCCGGGACTTCTGCCCCATCCAACCCTCCCATTCTCTGATGGCCCCCGGGGACCCCTGCCCCATCCACACACCCCCGGTCTCTGTCCCCTGTCCATCCCCGGACCTCCCGCCCCATTCAACCCCCCCTCTCCTTCCTGACTGCCCCCTGGGACCCCTGCCCCATCCAACCACCCCTTTTCCCTGACCGATCCCGGACCCCCCGCCCCTAACTGTCCCCCACCGCCCCATGCAACCCCCCCTCCTTCCTGACTGCCACCCCTGGGACCCCTGCCCTACCCCCATGCTCCCTGTCCCCTGACCACCCCTGGAACCCCTCTCCCTGACTGCCCCCCACCGCCCCATCCAACCCCTCCTCTCCTTCCTGACTGCCCTCCCTGGAACCCCTGTTCCCCGCCTTCTGACCGCCCTGACCCCATCCACACCCCCAGCCCCTGACCAACCCCCGAATTCCCCTGCCCTCTATCCAACCCCCCTCCCCCCAGCTCCCTGCCCCCTTACTGTGCTGCACAGGAGCACCGGTGGCTGGCGGCTCGGCTGCACCAGGACAGGCAGCGACGCTGCGCAGCACAGGTACAGACTAACACAACTACCCCCTGATACTTTCTGATGTGATCCGCGCGGATTTTTCCTCTCAGAACTGCCTTGAATTTCAGGTATACAAAAATAAGTTCAAAAAGGCTCGAATCCGGAACTGAAGGTTTTGTTTGGGTCGAGGAGGTTCTTCTGATGGGACAAGGGAGGTGGGCAGACCTTGGCTGCCCCGGGTATCTCTGAGCATTGGTTCTCCCAGCGGGGTGGGTTTAATGCTGGGCCCAGAGCGAGAAATGAACAGGTTTGGAACCCAGGCCCCTGATAACGTGCTGTCTCTTTGTGTCCACAGAGGGAAGCCACGGTAGACCAAGTGAGTGTGGATTTGATCTCTAGACTATATGTAACTTAGCTAGGCAGCTCTGCCCTGGCCTAATGTTCTCTTCTCATTTCAGGTTGGAAAGAAGCATTTCTCAAAGCCGGTAAATCCAAAATGGAGAGTTAAGTCTAGCAGGATATGGGTGGGCAACTGGGAGTCAGGACTCCTGGGTTCTAAGATTGGCTGTGAGAGGGGAGAGGAGTCTAGTAGTTAAGAAAAAGTGGGGGCTGGGAATCAGGACTCCTGGGCTCCATCCCCAGCTCTGGGAGGGGAGTGGGGTCTAGTAGGTTATGGGTGGGCAACTGGGAGTCAGAACTCCTGGGTTCTATCCCCAACTCTGGGAGGGAAGTGGGGTTTAGTGGGTTATGGGTGGGCAACTGGGAGTCAGGACTCCTGGGCTCTATCCCCAACTCTGGGAGGGGAGTGGGGTCTAGTGGGTTATGGGTGGGCAGCTGGGAGTCAGGACTCCTGGGTTCTAACATTGGCCATGGGAGGGGGGAGGTGTCTAATAGATATGGGAAAGTGGGGGCTGGGAGTCAGGACTCCTGGGTTCTGTCCCAGCTCTGGGAGGGGCATGGAGAGTCGTGGTTTAAGCAGGGTGCACCGTGCTCCTAGGCGATGTTTCTCCCTGACTCCCAGCTTTTGCTGGAGTTTTGCTTTAAAACGTCTCATTCTCCAGCTGTACCAATTTAAGTCTTTGAAATGAGCAAACTGCCTTCCCTGAAACTGTCCCCACCCCCCGTCCCACATCTGTCTGTCTCTAGCGGACGTGACCCTGGACCCAAGAACAGCTCACCCCAGTCTGGAGCTGTCTGCAGACAGGAAAAGCCTAAAGAACATAGGTACAAGACAATCACTGCCTAATGGCCTGGGGAGATTCGACGTTTACTCGTGTGTGCTGGGCTCCGATGGCTATGAGTTGGGGACACATTACTGGGATGTGGAGGTGGCCAGCACAGGGGGCTGGGCTCTGGGTGTCACCAGGGAGTCTGTCAGCAGGAAGGGATGGTTCAATTTCAGCCCCAAGCAAGGCACGTGGGCCATCCAGCTCTCCAGGGGCCAATACCGGGTAGTCACTGCAGAATGGAGCCCACTGGACCTGCTGCAGAGCCCTGGCAAGATCAGAGTGTATCTGGACTATGAAGGAGGGGTTGTGTGCTTCTATGATTCTGACACCATGGCCCCCCTCCATGCCTTCACTGCCCTCTTTACGGGGAAGATCTACCCATTCTTCTGGGTCTGGTCTGTAGGGACCTCCCTTAGACTATGTTCCTGAGCCTCTCCCAGCCAGATCTCTGCACATGCAAACCTGCCAATGCATCACACCAGCCATCACAATTGGGGTGGGGGGGGGGGAAGACGCATGTTGTGTCAGTATGGGCTGTTGGCCATGTTTTATTAGTGAGGATCCCTTGCTGAAAGGCAGTTTTCACACTATATGAATGGAAATAAACCTGTTCTTCAAAAAAGAAAAGCAAATTTCATCACACGCAAATTTCATCACACACACAAGGTAACATCCCCCTCTGACAAAGTGGAAATCGTCTGTGATATTTTTATGACACCTTTTTGTACTTCAGTTTCCCCTCCATGTTGCATTGTTACCCAGTGGGGGAAAAAGGCTATTTGCTCTCAGGGCAGGCTAAGAGACATAGGTGTGGGTGTCGCCCGGCTGTCTGGGCCTCAGTCCACATACCAGTGGAGTATCTGGGAAGACCATGGCAAATCCAATCACCAGGACATTGGCACCTACCATCCAAGGACCCAGAGGGAGATGGATTCCGTCTCTGCAGGGAGCTGAGCAACATCCACCAGCTGGAGAATAGAGGACTGAAGAGTGGGGAGGTGTGGGTATAAGTTGGCTGCTCACCTGATGTCTGACTAAAGAGGTCAGAGGGGAGACAAATGGAACTTGACCATGGGGGTTCACTACAGCTTGGCTGGGCTCTTGGCTGACCAGAAAGGTCTATGCTTTAATGTTCAGTTCTCTGTGCTAGCCTAAGGACTTCTTAGGCTGTGTCCAGCTGACCAATAAACCCGACTTCTTTGGACAATGCTATGTGAGTGTCACTGCAAATCCTGGCTGAGGTGCATGAGTCCCTGAAGCATGGACAAGTCTCTACCACAGGGCTGGATCCAGTCCACCAGCTGTTTTAATCCGGGCCTCGATCTCCCACTGTGGTGCGGGGTCTGAGGCTTGTCGCACTCCAGCCAGTGAGCAGGGTCGGGGGCTGCTCCACACAGCTTCCGGAAGCAGCAGCATGGCCCCCCTCCAGCTCCTATGTGTAGAGGCAGCCAGGAGGCTCCACTCTTAATACTGCCCCTGCCCCAAGTGCTGCCCCCTGCAGCTCCTGTTGGCTGGGAACCACAACCAATGGGAGCTTCAGGGGCAGTGCCTGCGGACAGGGCAGTATGCAGAGCTGCCTAGCCATGCCTCTGGGTAGGAGCCAGAGAAGGAACATGCTGCTGCTTCCGGGAGCCGCTTGAGGTAAGCGCTGCCCAGTGCCTGCACCCCTGAGCCTCTCCCCGTGCCACAACCCCCTGCCCCAGCCCTGATCCCCCTCCCACCCTCCATACCCCTCGATCCCAGCCCAGAGAACCCTCCAAACTCCTCATCTCCAACCCCATCCCAGAGCCCGCACCCCTTGTACCCAACTCTCTGTCCCAGCCCTGAGCCCCCTCCACACTCCAAACCCCTTGGCCCTACCCCAGCCACATGAATTTTGTTATCTGCACCAATATGGAGGTGATGTGTCACACATCACCTTCATATTGGTGCACATAACAAAATTCATTCCACACATGGCTGGGAAAAATTAGCGGGAATGCTGGCCAGGTGCCCAGGTAACGGGATTCAGTACCCAGACTGCAGCGGGTCTGCACTCAGTTTCTCTCTTCTTTTTGCTGCTCTGTCACTTTTCCAAAGCTGGAGAAGTTTGGTAAGAATGGACAAAGATAAAGAACACCCCTGCCGCCCAGCTTTTACATGATTATTATTTATGGCTGTGTTTGTAGCATGGCAGTGCCTGGGAGCCCCTGACACAGAACAGACCCTGTGATGCTAGATGCTGTCTGCAAAAAGACAGGGGAAAGATAATCAAAGAAAGTTTTAAGTGAGTCGTTTGGGCTCTTACATTCAGTGGCAAGAGAGGTGGTGAAACCTGGGAAGAACCACCCCCCCAAAGTCTAAAATATTTTACAAACCCAAATGAAAACTGCCATTCAACACAACAGGAAAAGGGCTTCATTCCAAAATTCCCCATGGAAAACATCAACGACGACACCTTTTTGGGTGGGTTGAAACATTCCCAGTCATGGGTTGTACTAGCCCAGCCATGGAGTGAGGCCCACCAAGGGACATCTACACTGGAATAAAAGACCCACGGCTGGCCCAGAGCAGCTGACTCACACTTGTGGGGCTCAGGCTGTGGAGTTAAAAGTTGCTGTGTAGACGTTCAGGCGGGGGCTGGAGCCTGGCCCCTGGGACCATGCAAGCAGGGAGGATCCCAGAGCCAGGACGCCAATCCAAGCCTGAACATCTACACAGCAACGTTTAACCTCCAAAGCCAAGCCCTGTGAGCCTGACTCAGCTGACCCAGGCCAGCTTCAGCCATGCAGTGGGGCTTGTATTCCAATGTAGCTGAAGTCAATGGGGCTACAGCCGGTGTCAGTGGGCTATAGCTCCATTGGAGTCATGGGGCCAGATCCCCAGCTGGGGTCATAAAATCAGAGAACTGGAAGGAACCTCGAGAGGTCATCCAGTCCCCTGCACCCATGGCAGGACTAAATATGATCTAGACCAGTGGTTCCCAAACTTGTTCCGCCACTTGTGCAGGGAAAGCCCCCCGGCGGGCCCGGCTGGTTTGTTTACCTGCTGCATCCGCAGGTTGGAGCAATCACGGCTCCCTGCGGATGCAGCAGGTAAACAAATGGGCCCGGCCCGCCGGGGGCTTTCCCTGCACAAGTGGCAGAACAAGTTTGGGAACCACTGATCTAGACCATCCCTGACAGGTGTTTGTCCAACCTGCTCTTAAAAATCCCCAATGATGGAGACTCCACAGCCTCCCTAGGCAATTTATTCCAGTGCTTAACCACCTTGACAGTCGCTGCAATTTAAGCCCATTGGTTCTTGTCCTATTCTCAGAGGTTAAGAACAATTTTTCTCCTTCCTCCTTGTAACAACCTTTTATGTACTTCAAAACTGTTATCATGTCCCCTCTCAGTCTTCTCTTCTCCAGACTAAAGAAATCCAATTTTTTCAATCTTCCCTCATAGGTCATGTTTACCTATGTTTCATCATTTTTGTTCTCTGGACTTTCTCCAATTTGTCCACATCTTTCCTGAAATGTGGTGCCCAGAACTGGACACAATACTCCAGTTGAGGCCTAATCAGCGCGGAGTAGAACGGAAGAATTACTTCTCATATCTTGCTAACAATACTCCTGATAATGATGTTTGCCTTTTTTGCAACAGCATTACACTGTTGACTTATATTTAGCTTGTGATCCACTATGACCCCCAGATCCCTTTCTGCAGTACTCCTTCCTAGGCAGTCATTTCCCATTTTGTATGTGTGCAAATGATTGTTCCTTCCTAAATTGAGTACTTCGCATTTGTCCTTAATGAATTTCATTCTATTTACTTCAGACCATTTCTTCAGTTTGTCCAGATCATTTTGAATTTTAATCCTATCCTCCAAAGCACTTGCAACCCATCCCAGCTTGGTATTGTCTGCAAACTTTATAAGTGTACTCTCTATGCCATTATCTAAATCATTTATGAAGATATTGAACAGAACCGGACCCAGAACTGATCCCTGCGGGACCCCACTCATTATGCTTTTCCAGCATGACTGTGAACCACGGATAACTACTTTCTGGGAACGATTTTCCAAACAGTTATGCACCCACCTTGTCGTAGCTCCATCTAGGTTGTATTTCCCTAGTTTGTTTATGAGAAGGTTATGAGAGACAGTACCAAAAGCCTTACTAAAGTCAAGATATACCACATCTACCGCTTCCCCCCATCCACAAGGCTTGTTACCCTCTCAAAGAAAGCTATCAGGTTGGTTTGACATGATTTGTTCTTGACAAATCCATGATGACTGTTATTTATCACCTTTTTATCTTCTAGGTGTTTGCAAATTGATTGCTTAATTATTTGCTCCATTATCTTTCCGATTGCAGAAGTTAAGCTGACTGGTCTGTAATTCCCCAGGTTGTCCTTATTTCCCTTTTTATAGATGGACATTATATTTGCCCTTTTCCAGTCTTCTGGAATGTCTCCCATCTTCCATGACTTTTCAAAGATAATTGCTAATGGCTCAGATATCGCCTCAGTCAGCTCCTTGAGTATTCTAGGATGCATTTCATCAGGCCCTGGTGATTTGAAGGCATCTAACTTGTCTAAGTAACTTTTGACTTGTTCTTTCTCTATTTTAGACTCTGATCAATGGGCCGTAGCTCCATTGGAATCAATGGGGCCAGATCCCCAGCTGGGGACAATCAGCGTCACTCCACTGGAGTCAGCATCCCTCTGATCAGAGCTTCCAAGCTTGCTCTGTAAGTGAGCTGGAGCTTGCTAGCTAGCAGCCGTCTCCTTCCCACAACCCTCCACCATCCCAGCCCTGCCCCAAGATTGCCACCAAGAGAGCGAGATACCATGCCCATTGCTGCAGCAAAGGCTCAAAATTCCACTGGGCAGGGGCCGTCGGGATCCAATCCCAAGGGGGCGGTGCTGCCCGTGCCCCTGCTCCAGAAGCAGCGCACAGGGAATGGAGCTGAGAGTGTGGTGGTGCTTTGCAGGACAATGGGAAAGGTAGGTGCATCCAGCACTATAGCGCCTGCCTTGAGGATATTGACCGGGGTCCTGGAGGGGAGAGAAATTGCCCCAGGGCTAAAACCTAGTACAAGATCTAGTCTCCATTTACACACCCCAGGGGTGTGAGAATTCACTGCCCTGATACCTCCAATCTGCCCATCTAATTTGGGAGTACTCAGAAATCCCCTTTCCCTGGGCCCGCCAGAGGACCCCAAGATAATGAGTGATGCCCAAGACTGACTGCTCCCAGCCAGGAGACGGGTCGGTGGAAATGGAAGGGGGAGACATTCAAAATGCAGCCTGAGCAGATGGGGTGGCTGGCTCTCACTTTTCCCTCCAATTTCTGACATCTCCGACTCAAGGAATATTTCCAACACTCCTCTGAACAACATACTAATCCACAGAGACCTTCCTACCAACACTACAAAAAGAAGGATTCTGGGTGGACTCCTCCTGAAGGTTGAAACAACAGATTGGACTTCTACATAGAGTGCTTCCACCGACGTGCACAGGCTGAAATAATGGAAAAGCAGCATCACTTGCCCCACAACCTCAGCTGTGCAGAACACAATGCCATCCACAGCCTCAGAAACAACTCTGACATCATAATCAAAAAGGCTGACAAAGGAGGTGCTGTTGTCATCATGAATAGGTCGGAATATGAACAAGAGGCTGCTCGGCAGCTCTCCAACACCACTTTCTACAAGCCATTACCCTCTGATCCCACTGAGGGTTACCAAAAGAAACTACAGAATTTGCTCAAGATACTCCCTGAAAAAGCACAAGATCAAATCCGCACAGACACACCCCTGGAACCCCGACCTGGGATATTCTATCTACTACCCAAGATCCATAAACCTGGAAATCCTGGGCGCCCCATCATCTCAGGCATTGGCACCCTGACAGTAGGATTGTCTGGCTATGTAGACTCCCTCCTCAGGCCCTACGCTACCAGCACTCCCAGCTATCTTCGAGACACCACTGACTTCCTAAGGAAACTACGATCCATCGGTGATCTTCCTGAAAATACCATCCTGGCCACTATGGCTGTAGAAGCCCTCTACACCAACATTCCACACAAAGATGGACTACAAGCTGTCAGGAACACTATCCCCGATAATGTCACGGCAAACCTGGTGGCTGAACTTTGTGACTTTGTCCTCACCCATAACTATTTCACATTTGGAGACAATGTATACCTTCAAATCAGCGGCACTGCTATGGGTACCCGCATGGCCCCACAGTATGCCAACATTTTTATGGCTGACTTAGTACAATGCTTCCTCAGCTCTCGTCCCCTAATACCCCTACTCTACTTGCACTATATTGATGACATCTTCATCATCTGGACCCATGGAAAAGAAGCCCTTGAGGAATTCCACCATGATTTCAACAATTTCCATCCCACTATCAACCTCAGCCTGGACCAGTCCACACAAGAGATCCACTTCCTGGACACTACGATGCTAATAAGCGATGGTCACATAAACACCACCCTATACCGGAAACCTACTGACCGCTATTCCTACCTACATGCCTCCAGCTTTCACCCAGACCACACCACACGGTCCATCGTCTACAGCCAAGCTCTACGATACAACCGCATTTGCTCCAACCCCTCAGACAGAGACAAACACCTACAAGTTCTCTATCAAGCATTCTTACAACTACAATACCCACCTGCTGAAGTGAAGAAACAGATTGACAGAGCCAGAAGAGTACCCAGAAGTCACCTACTGCAGGACAGGCCCAACAAAGAAAATAACAGAACGCCACTAGCCATCACCTTCAGCCCCCAACTAAAACCTCTCCAACGCATTATCAAGGATCTACAACCTATCCTGAAGGATGACCCATCACTCTCACAAATCTTGGGAGACAGGCCAGTCCTTGCCTACAGACAGCCCCCCAGCCTGAAGCAAATACTCACCAGCAACTACATACCACACAACAGAACCACTAACCCAGGAATCTATCCTTGCAACAAAGCCCGTTGCCAACTGTGCCCACATATCTATTCAGGGGACACCATCACAGGGCCTAATAACATCAGCCACACTATCAGAAGCTCGTTCACCTGCACATCTACCAATGTGATATATGCCATCCTGTGCCAGCAATGCCCCTCTGCCATGTCCATTGGTCAAACTGGACAGTCTCTATGTAAAAGAATAAATGGACACAAATCAGATGTCAAGAATTATAATATTCAGTCGGAGAATCTCTCTGGTCACGCGATTACAGACATGAAAGTTGCGATATTACAACAGAAAAACTTCAAAACCAGAGTCCAGTGAGAGACTGCTGAATTGGAATTCATTTGCAAATTGGATACAATTAACTTAGGCTTGAATAGAGACTGGGAGTGGCTAAGTCATTATGCAAGGTAACCTATTTCCCCTTGTTTTTTCCTACCCCCTTCCCCCTCCCACCCTTCCTCAGACGTTCTTGTTAAACCCTGGATTTGTGCTGGAAATGGCCCACCTTCATTATCATACACATTGTAAGGAGAAAAGGAGGACTTGTGGCACCTTAGAGACTAACCAATTTATCTGAGCATGAGCTTTCGTGAGCTACAGCTCACTTCATTGGATGCATACCGTGGAAACTGTGGAAATGCATACTGTGGAGCTGTAGCTCAGGAAAGCTCATGCTCAAATAAATTGGTTAGTCTCTAAGGTGCCACAAGTACTCCTTTTCTTTTTGCGAATACAGACTAACACAGCTGTTACTCTGAAACCTGTCATTGTAAGGAGAGTGATCACTTTAGATAAGCTATTACCAGCAGGAGAGTGGGGTGGGGGGAGAGAAAACCTTTTGAAGTGATAAACACCCATTTTTTCATGATCTGTGTGTATAAAAACATCCTCACTGTATTTTCCATTTTTATGTATCCGATGAAGTGAGCTGTGGCTCACGAAAGCTTATGCTCAAATAAATTGGTTAGTCTCTAAGGTGCCACAAGTACTCCTTTTCTTTTCCCTCTGTCACGCACGGTTAGCCGGTGGGACTCCCTGCTACCGCGTGTCACTGTGAGATTAGCAGGGCTCGGGTCCGAGAGGGGAGTGGATGGTTGCATGGATAAGGATAAGGAGAATAGCCAGGCAGGAGGAAAGCAGCGCTGTTTGACAAACAGCCGGGGAGAGCCACAGACAGAGACGCTGTCTAATGCTGGGGAGCGAGGAAGGAATTAACCCACATGGGTGGTTTATCCTGCTAGAGCCCCGTCACCGGGCTGTTACACCTGCCACTGCACAGCTGGCACTGTTGGAAACTAGACACCAGGCTGGCTGGACCCACTGATCTGTTCTGTGGAAGCGGAGGGTGAGATACCAGCTGGCTGGACCCACTGATCTAATGTGGGGTGGCAAGGGGGGCGGTACCAGACTGTGGGTCTGACCTAGGGTTGCCAACAGTCCCTTATTACAAGGGGCGCCCCTTACTTCGTCATCTCTGTAAAAGAAGACCGGGAGTTGCTGAGCGCTGCAGAAAGCAGCAAGAAACGCCTCTGAGGAAGGGGAAAGTGCTGCATCGTACACAGGGTTCACAGCTTGCTCCCTGGCTCTCAGCGCCCCCACCCCCATAGTCCCAGCGCCCCAGCTGCTCGGTATTCTCATTAATGGTCATAATCCTAGCGCGGGGAGGAGGCTAGAAAACAGGCCCTTGGTTTTGAAACCCAGCGTTGGCACCGCTGGGGGGCAGGGAGGGGGCAGAGTCCGCTGGGTGCAGCCCAGCCCCAGCCATGCGTTATCTGGCTGCCCCGGGGCGGGGCTCAGTGGCCAGGCGGGGAACGCCCCGGGGGGGGAGGGGAATTTCCTTGCCCTGCAGCGGAGTGGGCGGTGTTGGGGCCCTCTCCAAAATGCTCCGCCTGGTTCCCGTCCGGGTCTCGTGTTCACAAAACCCCAGGACATCCCGCCTGCTCCTGACTCCATGAAACCACCCCCTGGCCCTGAGCACCCGGACACACTTCCTGGGCCAGCTGCTTCCAGAAAGGGGAGATTCTGAGACAACCCGGACTGCTGGCACCCCTGCTTCCCAGCCCCCCCTCCGCCGGTAGGACTGCGGGAGCCCTTCTGTCAGGCAAAGAAAGGGGGGATCGCTGCCCAGAAAGATGGGGGGCTCCGGGAGACAACGACAGGAAACGATTTGTTGCAGTGGCGCTGGAATATTGTGTCCAGTGGGGGTGCTGAGAGCTATGGAACCAAATTGTAAACCCTGAGAAACCACTTCGGGCCAGGGGTGCGGCAGACCCCCCCCCCTCCAGTTCCAGCCCCTGTGCTTTGTTGATACATTATTCACCAGCCCCTGGGAGGAAAGGGCGATTTCTCCATTTCCCCACGTTTTAATGAGTTAATTAACTAGTTTCTCTCCTGCTGAATTATTTTTACCACCATGTTACTGTGTGTCACTTCCTCCAACTCAGAGAGGGAGATAATTAATGGCTGGGTTGCAGTGCGGGGTGACTTTCACTTGAACATTTCTTCTTTCTTTCTTTCTGTACTAGGGAGGGGAAAAAGTCTGAAAAGCAGCCAAAAGCTGGGCTTTTTTTCTGCCGTTTCCAAGCAAAACACATTGTGGAAAAGCCAGGTAAACGCGGGGAGGAGGCGGTTCTTTCCTGGCAGGTTTTGGTTCTGACAGTTTTATTTCCTGTGGAAAGCAAAAATAATTTCTTAGGAGAAAATGCTGATTTTGCAGGAGGCCCTGTTGTTTCAAGGAGAAAGCTTTTGGTTGAAGAACTGACCTGTTGGGGGGCTCACAGGTGTTTTGCCTTCCCAGGTCCCACGCGGATGAGGAGCCTGGAGCCCGATGCCCCCTCTGCACGGTGACCAATGTTCTGTGGTGGTGCCGGGAGACATCTCCCAGAGGCCCACAGGATGGAGAGCACCCAACGCCGCTATCAGGCCATACCAGTTGCCCTCTGCCTCCTCCTGGGCATTGGGATGGCAGCCCCAGGTGAGATTGGCGTGTGTGCAAAGGGGACACCGTCAGGATGTGATCCAGTCTGTTCCAAACCAGTGCTCCCCCACATCCGGTGCAATTTCACAACTGCTGCATCTTAGTTCCACATCCCATCGGTAGCACAGGGCACAAAACAACTCGGGTGGCCAGTGCCCACCGAGCCATGGGAGGCTCGAACCCTCACAAGGTGTTGGGTGCTAGAGAAGATGACCTGTTGGTTAACAGGGGGCAGCGCCCCGAGATACACGCACCACCCTCTACTGGGGCTCGTCTACACCTGATTCACCAACGCAAATGGGTTAAAAGCTTTCTAGTTTAACTGGCCCTATCACCAGTATGGGCAACTCTCTGGTGGCTTCCCACTAGTTCTCCCAGTTGGCCTCAGGCCTGGAAATTGATGAGTGTGAGCTACGTGGCTAAGAGCCAAGTTTAAATTGGTTTAAGAGCATGAACACATGCAAACACACACCCGCAGGTCCAGTTAAATCTATTTCACATCACAGCTGTAGCTAGACCTCCTCTTTCTGGGGTTGGTCTGTAATAACACACTTACACACTGGTTTTACACTTCTTCAGGATACGCCCAAAAGGGGAGCAGAGTTGAGGTTGTTCAAGCCTTCAGAAATCTGACAGCTCCTGGCTTTTGAATGCTTGATTAGCTACCTAGTGTTCTTTTGATGTAGCGTCATTGGAGGTAATTTCTGTTACAGTACCACCTAGAGATGCCATAGTGTCTGGCACGGCACAGACACACCGTGGCCGAGATCAGGGCCCCATTGCACTGGGCGAGGCACAGACACACAGTGATTGAGATCAGGATCCCGTTGCTGCACAGACACACAATGCCCTGCCCCAAAGAGCAAATGCTCTAATAATAACATCTAGTTCTTATCTAGCACTTTACATCAGTAGATCTCAGGGTGTCTTACAGAAGAGACCAGTATCATTATCCTCACAGTACACCTGGGGAAACCGAGGCACGGACAGGGAAGTTCCTTGCCCACATTCACTCAGCAGGCCAGTGCAGAGCCAGGAATGAACCCAGGACTCCTGCCTCCCAGGCCAGCACTCTAGCAACTTGGCCACAGTGCCTCTAAAGACGCCTGGATCGTTATCCCCGTTTCCCAGCAAGGGTGTTGAGGCAGAGAGGAATGGGGTGACTGGCCCGCAGATACACCAGAGATTGGTGGCAGAGCTGGGAACTGAGCCCGTCAAGCCAGTCACCCCTTGGTGGGGACTCACTGACCATCGGCCCCCTCCCCCTCCCATGCTCTCTGACCATACGGTGTTTCTCCCCCAGAATCATTCCATGTGCTGGGTCCCGCCAGCCCCATCTCTGCCCCACTGGGGGGCACTGTGCTGCTGCCCTGCCATCTCTCCCCCGCGCTCAGTGCCCAGGCCATGCAGGTGAAATGGAGCCGGCCCCAGTTGGGCCAGGACGTCCACGTCTACTGGCCGAACAGGAGCGAGGAGCAGGGCACGGGTTACCAGGGCAGGACGGAGCTCACCACCCAGGGCCTGGCCCATGGGAACGTCTCCCTGAGGATCCGGGATGTCCAGCCATCAGACGAAGGGCAGCACTTGTGCGAGGTCCAGTCACCCAGTCACTACAGCACGGCCCTGCTGGAGCTCAGCGTGACGGGTGAGCAGCTCCGACTGCGTGCGGCTCACTCCCATGGGAACGCTAGGCGTCGCAGTGCAATGGGGGATTGTGACACATCCTCGGACCCGTGCACTTCCTGCTGCATTTCACCTGCAGATTCAGAAGCGGAGATTTCCACAGTTGGCCTGGGGATTTGGATACCCAGCTCCCATTAAAATTCCCTGGGATGCCTCCCCAGAGTGCAGCCTTTAGAATTGCCATTCCCAGAATCAAAGGCTTAAAACTGTGGGGGGCAGACCCCCAGCCGGTGTACGTAGCTCCATTGGAGTCAATGGGGCCAGATCCCCATCTGGGGCCAGTTGGCCGTAGCTCCATTGGAGTCAATGGGGCCAGATCCCCAGCCAGTGTCAGAGGGCCGTAGCTCCATTGGAGTCAGTGGGGCCAGATCCCCAGCCGGTGTCAGAGGGCCGTAGCTCCTTTGGGGTCGGGGGGGCCCCCCCGCCGGGGAGGGCGTAGCTCCATTGGAGTCAATGGGGCCAGATCCCCATCTGGGGCCAGTTGGCCATAGCTCCATTGGAGTCAATGGGGCCAGATCCCCAGCCGGTGTCAGAGGGCCGTAGCTCCATTGGAGTCAATGGGGCCAGATCCCCAGCCGGTGTCAGAGGGCCATAGCTCCATTGGAGTCAATGGGGCCAGATCCCCAGCCGGTGTCAGAGGGCCGTAGCTCCATTGGAGTCAATGGGGCCAGATCCCCATCTGGGGCCAGTTGGCCATAGCTCCATTGGAGTCAATGGGGCCAGATCCCCAGCCGGTGTCAGAGGGCCGTAGCTCCATTGGAGTCAATGGGGCCAGATCCCCAGCCGGTGTCAGAGGGCTGTAGCTCCATTAGAGTCAGTGGGGCCAGATCCAAAGCTGGTGTCAATTGTCCGTAGCTCCACTGGAATCAGTGGGGCCAGATCTGCAGCTCGGGTCAATGGACCATAGCTCCATAAGAGTCAATAGGCCAGATTCCCAGCCGGTGTCAATCATCCGTAGCTCCACTGGAGTCAATGGGGCCAGATCTCAGCTGGGGTCAATGGGCTGTAGCTCTAGGAGAGTCAATGGGGACAGATCCCCAGCTGGGGTCAATGGGTCGCAGCTTTATTGGCGTCAATGGGGCATATCCCTGGCTTTGTAAAGTGCTTTGAGATCACCGCTATCACAGATGTGTTAATCATTCTTACCGTGTTAACTTTTTGCTTCTGATTCTCCATCCCCCAGGCTCTGGCTCAGACCCTGTCCTGCACATGGCTGGGCACAAGGACTGGGGGGTGTGGGTCTTGTGTCTCTCTGAGGGGTGGTACCCAGAGCCCCACGTGCTCTGGAGGAATGGCCGTGGGGAGACCCTGAGCCCCAGGTCTGAACAGAAACTGCGCAGCGACAACGGCCTATTCAACATCTCCAGCTCCTTGGTGGTGACTGAGAGCTCGGACCCAGCACTGACCTGCACCATCAAAGCCGGCTTCTCCAGCCCAGAGAGAGAGACGACTATTCATATCACAGGTGGGCTGCCCGCACACCTCAGGTTCCTCCCTGATGCTTATCCACATGGCTTGGCCTCATTGCAGACAGGGGGTGACTCTGGATTGACCCCAGGGAAGCTGATATCAGAATCCGGCCCTGCCCCCAGTGCAGACAGGGGTGACTCTGGATGAACCCCAGTGGAGCTGAGATCAGAATCCAGCCCTGTCCTCATTGCAGTTGGGGAGTGACTCCAGACTGACTCAAGGCAAGCTGAGATCAGAATCTGGCCCTGCCCCCAGTGCATTTGGAGGGTGACTCCAGATTAGCCCACGGGAGCTGAGCTCAAAATCTGGCTCTCAGCCCTCAGTACCTACACTGACTTCACCTTTCCCAGCTAAGTGCTTAGGAGTGCTCTTGCTGCTCCTCTGAGAAGTTGCAATGTGTGTTCTCCCTCAGGGCTCTTCCCCAGGCATGCCCCGGAAATGTGGGCCTTTCTCATCTTTCTACCAGTATGTCTCTTCCTTGTGCCGTTGGCTGTTTATCTCTTCCGAAAGCTCCAGGTACTCAAAGGTAACAATCTCACTCCAGGCAGTGCAGTAGGGAATGTGTTTCACTGAGTGGCCAATACTTTTTTCTAAGGGAACGTGTGGGTTACAGACAGAAAATTCCATACAAACTACTTCTTTCCTGGAAGGTGGAAGTCATCCCTGTGCAAACAAGATCAGGGCCCCATTGTGCTGGGCGCAGCACAGACTCACAATGACCGAGATCAGAGCCCCGTTGTGCCTGGTGCTTCACAGACACACGGTCACCGCGATCAGGGCCCTGTCAGGCCAGGCACTGCAAAGACACACGGTGACAGTCTCCCTGCCCAACAGAGCAAAATAAAATAAAGAGTCAAAATAAACAAAGGGTGTGAGGGGAAACTGAGGCAGAGAGCGTGGCAGTATCTTTCCCAAGCTCTCCAAGCAGTTCAGCAGCAAATCCAGGAACCGAAATCAGCACTTCTAATGGCCTGTTCAGTGCTCTAACCATCGGCCCATGCTGCCTCTTTGGCTTAATTGGGGGAAAGCTGAGAGGAAGGAAAGAGATAAGCCCAAATGATTGTGCCTAAGCCCTGTCCAGCACCACGGATCCCAGGGAAACTGGCCATCAGGCATGCCAGTCCCTGCACTCTCCCTGGCCAGTCACGTGTCTCTCTCGGGCTTGCTCGGCCTATACGACCTCCTGGCAATGAGGCACTTTCTGGAGGGTTTCCGGGAGCACAGACCGGGCTAAGAATTCATTCCTAGAGGGTGCAAATGGACACCCACTGGAGGCTGGGCCAGTGGATTCTCCCTAGCTGCCCCCTCTAGGAAGCACATACATTTCCCCCAGAGCCACAGGCGCCCCTCGGTCTGTCCCAGGAGGTGGGAATGGGATGGGAATGGCATATGTGCTCAGTGGGAGGTGAGGGAGAAACAGCCGTAGTGGGACTATAGAGATGAGCCACACAGGGCGCAGGAAATCCCCCTTGAGTGTCGCTCCTGCTCACAGCCTCACCTCTTCCTTTCTTTTCCAGGTGAGGTGTCCAAAGAGCGCGGTGAGTATTTCCAGCACACGGTAACTCGTGTCTCTATAACATCGCCTCAGCACCCATCGCGTAATAGTGTATCAGGGCAGAACCGAGAGATCCCACCCGAGATCAGGACCCCGTTGTGCTGGGTGCTGGACAGACACACAGTGACTGAGATCAGGGCCCCGTTTTGCCAGGTGCAGGACAGACACACAATGACAGAGATCAGGGCCCCGTCATGCTGGGCATGGCACAGACTCATGGTGACCGAGATCAGGGCCCTGCACACCGGGCGCTGCACAGGCACAGTGACTGAGATCAGGGCCCTGTTGTGCCAGGCGCTGCACAGACACATGGTGACCAAGATCAGGGCCCCATCATGACGGGCTCTGCACAGACACACGATGACCGAGATCAGGGCCACATTGTGCCAGGTTTTACACAGACACCCACATAGCCAGGAAGGAGGCTGAGGGACCTGGAAGAGGGTGAAGGATCAGAGATGCTTCAGAGGCTGGAGTGGGGAAAGCAAAAGATGCTGCCTAGGGTCAGAGTCAGCTGAGGTGGGGAGAGATGGGAGAGAAATCTGCAGGGGATGGCACCCACCGTGGAATCATAGAATATCAGGGTTGGAAGGGACCTCAGGAGGTCATCTAGTCCAACCCCCTGCTCAAAGCAGGACCAATCCCCAATTAAATCATCCCAGCCAGGGCTTTGTCAAGTCTGACCTTAAAAACTTCTAAGGAAGGAGATTCTACCACCTCCCTAGGTAACGCATTCCAGTGTTTCACCACCCTCCTAGTGAAAAAGTTTTTCCTAATATCCAACCTAAATCTCCCCCAGTGCAGCTTGAGACCATTACTCCTTGTCCTGTCATCTGCTATCACTGAGAATAGTCTAGATCCATCCTCTTTGGAGCCCCCTTTCAGGTAGTTAAAAGCAGCTATCAAATCCCCCCTCATTCTTCTCTTCCATAGACTAAACAATCCCAGTTCCCTCAGCCTCTCCGCATAAGTCATGTGTTCCAGACCCCTAATCATTTTTGTTGCCCTTCGCTGGACTCTCTCCAATTTATCCACATCCTTCTTGTAGCGTGGGACCCAAAACTGGACACAGTACTCCAGATGAGGCCTCACCAATGTCGAATAGAGGGGAACGATCACGTCCCTCGATCTGCTCGCTATGCCCCTACTTATACATCCCAAAATGCCATTGGCCTTCTTGGCAATAAGGGCACACTGCTGACTCATATCCAGCTTCTCGTCGACTGTCACCCCTAGGTCCTTTTCCGCAGAACTGCTGCCTAGCCATTCGGTCCCTAGTCTGTAGCTGTGCATTGGGTTCTTCCATCCTAAGTGCAGGACCCTGCACTTATCCTTATTGAACCTCATCAGATTTCTTTTGGCCCAATCCTCCAATTTGTCTAGGTCCCTCTGTATCCTATCCCTACCCTCCAGCGTATCTACCACTCCTCCCAGTTTAGTGTCATCCGCAAACTTGCTGATGGTGCAATCCACACCATCCTCCAGATCATTAATGAAGATATTGAACAAAACCGGCCCCAGGACCGACCCTTGGGGCACTCCACTTGATACCGGCTGCCAACTAGACATGGAGCCATTGATCACTACCCATTGAGCCCGACAATCTAGCCAGCTTTCTATCCACTTTATAGTCCATTCATCCAGCCCATACTTCTTTAACTTGCTGGCAAGAATACTGTGGGAGACCGTGTCAAAAGCTTTGCTAAAGCCAAGGAATAACACGTCCACTGCTTTCCCTTCATCCACAGAACCAGTTATCTCATCATAGAAGGCAATTAGATTAGTCAGGCATGACTTTCCCTTGGTGAATCCATGCTGACTGTTCCTGATCACTTTCCTCTCGTCTAAGTGCTTCAGAATTGATTCCTTGAGGACATGCTCCATGATTTTTCCAGGGACTGAGGTGAGGTTCAAACCCACAGCTGCGGCCAATTGCTGTGATTATGTTCATCCAAATGGAGCTACAGTCGATTGACACCAGCTGGGGGTCTGGCCTCCTTGCTCCCAGTTTTCTCCAATTGCTGGAATCAGACTCCAGCCCAATGAGTGTGCGAGCTGTGGTTCAGTATAGGGCTGCTGAGCAAATGGGAATGAATTTCCCTCAGTAAAGTTTCAAAAGATTTTTTTTAAACTTTTCATAGAAATTTTCCTAGTGTTTTTTTAGCGAACTACTGAAAATATTTGCAAACCAAAACTGTTTCTTTACTTTAAAAAATTGTGGTTTTGTGTTTAAAAAATATGGAGAATTTTGAACAAAATAAAAACTTTCATTGGGGAGAATCATAGAATATCAGTGTTGGAAGGGACCTCAGGAGATCATTTAGTCCAACCCCCTGCTCAAAGCAGGACCAATCCCCAATTTTTTCCCCAGATCCCTAAATGGCCCCTTCAAGGATTGAACTCACAACCCTGGGTTTAGCAGGCTCAAACCACTGAGCTATCCCTCCCCACAAAATGGTGGAGTTTTGTTTCAAAAACCCAAAAGTTTGGACAGGATTTGTTTCATCTGCTCTCACTGCTTCCCCAGCTAATTGTGACCTCCTTTTTTATCATTGCAGAATGGAGACAATTTCTCGATAAAGGTAAAAAAAAAAAAAAGTTTTCTACTTATCTCCGGTACTCACATGGTTTTGACTCCTGCTGTCTCTGAGCCCCCTCCCTGTCTTCCATGTATTGACTATCACAGGCCAGAGGTAGGGCTCAAAGGAACAGATCCTCGAACGTGCTTAACTCCCTTTGGTGCCTAAGTACCTTTGAGGAGCTGGGCCTAAAAGACTTGACCACAGTCATCACACTAAAAGCTTGGATCTGAGATTCCCGGCTGAGCTTAGACAATGGCTTTCCTAGGCTAGGACCATGAGGCCGGTTGTTACGAACTAGGGCATGGGCAGCCAGGCCTTGTGGCTGGAGCTGGAATCAGTGGCTAGAAACAGTGCTGATGGTCAGAGCCGGAGGCAGGGCCAAGGGTCAGGAATGGAGCAGACTGGGCAGGACAGTGGACAAGGCTGGGAGCAGGTCTGGCCCAGGAGAAATCGCAGCTGGGGACGCATGGGTTGAGCAGCCTGAGATCCGATATTGCTGGCGGGCTGACATCCATGGGTGATCAGGCGGCCCTGCGGTGGATTGGCTGTGCTCACAGGCTGCCTGGAGACCAGGGGACAAGTGCCCTGGGAGCTCTGCTAGCCGCACACAGACGCTGGGTAATACAAAGCACAGGACACCACTGCGATATCCTTCAGCTTTCCCCAGCAAGGGCATGGAGATGCAGTGACCTCTGTAGATGGCCCTGGTGAGATCCTTCCTGGGCACAGGGCTGGGTGGAAAAGAGAGAGGGGTCTGTTCCCATGGAAAAATCCAAGAAGAAAGATTTTTCTCTTTTTTTCATTTTTGTTTGTACTTTCTGTGGATAATTCCGACTCTCCATCAAAACTTCAAAACCTGAAACATTCTAGCTGAAAATCACCCTAGTTTGGTTTTTGGATGAAAATTATTTGGCTTCTGACCAAAGTATTCTGCATTTTAGATTAAAATGATCTGGTTTGGGGCCAAAATATTTTGGGCAAACACTGGTTTTGAGGCCAAAACGTTCTGGATTTGGGGTGAACGTTGTCTGTTTTTTTTGGCCAAAATATTTTAGTTTTGGAGCATCTGTTTTTTCAACAAAGCATCCACTCTGTCCCCAGAAAGCAGACATAGAGTTTTAGAACATAAGAATGGTTTATACTGGGTCAGAGCAAAGGTCTGTCTAGCCCCGTATCCTCTTCCGACAGTGGCCAATGCCAAGTGCCCCAGAGGGAATGAACAGAACAGGTGATCATCAAGTGATCCATCCCCTGTTGCCCAATTTTTCCAGCCAAAAACTGTTCCCATGGAAAATTTCCCACCAGCCCTGGTGGATCCTGTGTCCCGTTCAGGGGTCTTCCCAGAAGAGGTTGACTACTTGGGTCAGAGAAAATCCAAAGGCTCATGGTAATAATCATGCTTAGCTCCATTTTATAGCTGGGGAAAACGAGGGGGAGGGAAGGGAAGTGACTGGCTCCAGGTCAGCCAGCAGGCCTGAGCTGGGAATAGAACCCAGGTATCCTAGTGCTCTACCCACTAGGCCCCATAGCAAGAGACTTGCGGAGCTGAGCAGAGAGGAGGTACTGCGGTGTCTTGCCCTAGCACCTGTATCCATCTGCCCGTAGTGTCCCTGTCGGCAGCAGAGGTGACGCTGGACCAGAGCACTGCCAACCCCTTCCTGGTGCTCTCAGCAGATGGCAGGAGTGTGACGTGTGGCATCCTCTGGCAAGACGTCCCCAAGAGTGACCGGAGATTCGACCCCCTCCCCTGCGTCCTGGCCTCCCAGTGCTTTGCAGCCAGGCAACACTACTGGGACGTGGAGGTGGGCCAGTGGGGAGACTGGGCCATTGGGGCAGCCCAGAGCTCCATGGAGAGCATGGGGGTGTTTCAGCTGTCCCCGGATGTGGGGGTCTGGGCCCTGCAGTGCCAGGAGGGGGAGTGGAGTGCTCTCACCTGCCCTGAGACACCGCTGCAGCTGGAGTCAGCACCCAGGATGGTCCGGGTGCACCTGGACTGCGAGCAGGCAAGCCTGGCCTTCTACAACGCTGAGGGCATGGTGCACATCTTCACCTTCACTGGCTGTTCCCGGGATCCTCTCTTCCCCTTCTTCTTGCTCTGGACTTCTGGGGCGCAGCTCACCATACTGCCTCCAGGGCACAGAAAGACTGTGGAGATGGACAGGACAACACGTACAGTAACACCCAAAATGGGGAAAAGACAGGGCAGTCTTATAGAACTTCTGATCATGCCAGGGCAGAGTTAAGGATTTTTGGCTGGGAATTCCCTTGTGTTCAAACGGGCAAAATTAAGGGTGTTAAATTCCTTTGTCTTCAAAGGGGCAGAGTAAAGGGTTTTTAACCAGGAATTTCCTTGCAAAGGGACAGTGTTACGGATGTTTTCCCAGGGATTTCCTTGCTTTCAAATAGCTGCTTGGTTTAATATACATGGCAATGCTGAACAGAGTTAGATCGTGCCTGCTTTTGGCGGTTGGTGATCCTCTGACTTTTGTATTGTGCCTTAAAACATCTGCCCAAAGTAGTTATTACTGAAACGAACCTATTTTACTGAGGGCTTAGAACTTACCTATTTTTTAAAAGGCATATTTTATTGCAGTATTTGAACCAATTTTGGCTACAGTCAGGGAACCAGGCACAATCAGACTTTCCTGTGGAGATGCAACTATTACTCAGTATTACCAGCCGGAAAAACTCCAAAGCTTAAATGTTTAAACAGCAAACTTTATTTGTAAACTTGTTTCATTTTTCCCTGGAACCAACCTAAGTCTACATAAAGGGTATTTAACTTTGAAATTAACATTGAGATACACAGCTCATTCTTTCTTAGCATGGGAAGTTCCCATCTGAGATCAGGGCCCCATTGTGATGGGCTCTGCACAGACACATGGTGACCCAGATCGGGGCAGAGCTGGGAACTGTCCCCATGTTTATTAAGTCCCAATCCAATGCCTTAACCGCAAGCCCAGTCAGCATGCACAGCTGGGTGCACACGCAATTCCCCTGATTATGCAGAGAACCTGAGACATTTGTGAGGAAACTTCCTGGGCAGCTGTGATAGCACGGGCTGGGGCTTTGGGGGGCTGATTTTTAATTGTCCCCCCAAAATTGTATATGTTCATAGTGGTGGTGGTGGGTGGGAGGAAGCACAAAGTGAAGGTTTGTCTACGCCTGAACAGCTTGAGTCATGGCCCCGCCGGGGAGGCCCCCTGCCCCGTTATCCTCAGTCTCCCCTCCTGGAAAGCAGTGGCCTCTCCCCGCAGCACCCAGCCACTGCTCCTGTCTCTCCGCATGGGGCACAGCTGGCAGTTCACCTGGCCTCCAAACGGGGGCCTACTCTGAGTCAACAGGAAACCCACACACGGGAGTGAGGCAGCCCCAAACCATGGCCCTGGTTGTGACGTTATTAATCTGAACTGGCACCATATAGATCATTGTTGCAACAAAGGTCCTGAAGTGGCACAAAATTTTGTATAAAGGGGGTCAAATAAGGTGTCTAAGACAAGGTTATGGTTTGCTGGTTACGATTATGCTGTCTATATGTATGTATCATTTTTGTATTTAAAGTTATAAGTATTGGCTCTATACTGTCTGTATTTCAAACTTATGCTATGCTTCTGGGGGAGACCCCAGACAATTTGGTGTCAGCACTGCCTAGCCTGATTGATGGCCCATTAAGGACCATCAGCTGTACAATAGACGCATTGAGAGAAGGCACATACTCCTTGAGACTCAGCAAGATATTCAGGGACCTGCCTATGGACAGAACACTAAGGTTTTTCTATGCCATGTGCTGGGTAGCTTGTCTTTGGGACAAAGAAAGCAGAGACCACATGACAAGAGACTATAAAAAGGCTGATGCATCTCCTCCATCTTGTTTTCCGTCCTGCTTCTTACTTCTGGAAGGACTTTGATACAAACTGAAGCTCTGAACAAAGGACTGAATGACCCATCCCCGCTGTGGATGTACTCCAGAGACTTGATTTGAACCTGCAGTTTGTTCCATAACTGGTACAAGCCTGAACCAAGAACTTTGCCATTACTGTATATAATTGATTCCATTTAACCAATTCTAGCTCTCATCTATATCTTTTTCCTTTTCATAGATTCATAGATATTAAGGTCAGAAGGGACCATTATGATCATCTAGTCTGACCTCCTGCACAATGCAGGCCACCAAATCTCACCTCCCCCGCCCCCCCCCCAATAAACCTCTCACCTATGTCTGAGCTATTGAAGACCTCAAATCATGGTTTAAAGACTTCAAGGTGCAGAGAATCCTCCAGCAAGTGACCCATGCCCCATGCTGCAGAGGAAGGCGAAAAAACCCCAGGGCCTCTTCCAATCTGCCCTGGAGGAAAATTCCTTCCTGATCCCAGATATGGCGATCAGCTGAACCCTGAGCATGTGGGCAAGATTCACCAGCCAGATACCAAGGAAAGGATTCTCTGTAGTAACTCAGATCCCACCCCATCTAACATTCCATCACGGGCTATTGGGCCTGTCATAAATATAAAAGGGAAGGGTAAACACCTTTAAAATCCCTCCTGGCCAGAGGAAAAATCCTTTCACCTGTAAAGGGTTAAGAAGCTAGGATAACCTCGCTGGCACCTGACCAAAATGACCAGTGAGGAGACAAGATACTTTCAAAGCTGGATGGGGGGAGAAACAAAGGTTCTCTCTGTCTGTGTGATGCTTTTGCCGGGAACAGAGCAGGAATGGAGTCTTAGAACTTAGTAAGTAATCTAGCTAGATATGTGTTAGATTCTGTTTTGGTTAAATGGCTGATAAAATAAGCTGTGCTGAATGGAATGTAGATTCCTGTTTTTGTGTCTTTTTGTAACTTAAGGTTTTGCCTAGAGGGATTCTCTGGTTTGAATCTGATTATCCTGTAAGGTATTTACCATCCTGATTTTACAGAGGTGATTCTTTTACTTTTTCTTCAATTAAAATTCTTCTTTTAAGAACCTGATTGCTTTTTTCATTGTTCTTAAGATCCAAGGGTATGGGTCTGTGTTCACCTATGCAAATTGGTGAGGATTTTTATCAAGCCTTCCCCAGGAAAGGGGGTGTAGGGTTTGGGGAGGATTTTGGGGAGAAAGACGTTTCCAAGCGGGCTCTTTCCCAGTTATATATCTGTTAGACGCTTGGTGGTGGCAGCAATAAAGTCCAAGGGAAAAAGGAAAATAGTTTATACCTTGGGGAAGTTTTAACCTAAGCTGGTAAAAATAAGCTTAGGGGGTTTTCATGTAGGTCCCCACATCTGTACCCTAGAGTTCAGAGTGGGGAAGGAACCTTGACAGGGCCTATTTACCATGAATAGTTCAAGATCAATTAATTGCCAAAATCATGTTATCCCATCATACCATCTCCTCCATAAATTTATCGAGTTTAATCTTGAAGCCAGATAAGTCTTTTGCCCCCACTGCTTCCCTTGGAAGGCTGTTCCAGAACTTCACTCCTCTGATGGTTAGAAACCTTCATCTAATTTCAAGTCTAAACTTCCTGGTGGCCAGTTTATATCCATTTGTTCTTGTGTCCACATTGGTACTGAGCTTAAATAATTCCTCTCCCTCCCGGGTATTTATTCCTCTGATATATTTATAGAGGGCAAATCATATCTCCCCTCAGCCTTCTTTTGGTTAGGCTAAACAAGCCAAGCTCTTTGAGTCTCCTTTCATAAAACAGGTTTTCCATTCCTCGGATCATCCTAGTAGCCCTTCTCTGTACCTGTTCCAGTTTGAATTAATCCTTCTTAAACATGGGAGACCAGAACTGCACACAGTATTCCAGGTGAGGTCTCACCTTGTAAAACGGTACTAACAGCTCCTTATCTCTACTGGAAATACCTCGCCTGATGCATCCCAAGACTGCATTAGCTTTTTTCACAGCCATAGCACATTGGAGGCTCATAGTCATCCTGTGGTCAACCAATATTCCAAGGTCCTTCTCCTCCGTTACTTCTAATGCATCCCCAGCTTATAACTAAAATTCTTGTTATTAATCCCTAAATGCATAACCTTATACTCTTCACTATTAAATTTCATCCTATTACTATTACTCCAGTTTACAAGGTCATCCAGATCCTCCTGTATGATATCCCGGTCCTCCTCTAAATTGGCAATACCTCCCAGCTTTGTATCATCCACAAACTTATAGCACGCTCCCACTTTTTGTGCTGAGGTCACTAATAAAAAGATTAAATAAGATTGGTCCCAAAACCAATCCCTGAGGAACTCCACTGGTAACCTCCCTCCAGCCTGACAGTTCACCTTTCAGTAGGACCCGCTGTAGTCTCCCCATTAACCAATTCCTTATCCACCTTTCAATTTTCATATTGATCCTCATCTTTTCCAATTTAACTAATAATTCCCCATGTGGCACCATATCAAACGCCTTACTGAAATCTAGGTAAATTAGATTTTGATTGCATTTTCTTTGTCTAAAAAATCTGTTACTTTCTCAAAGAAGGAGATCAGGTTAGTTTGGCATGATCTACCTTTTGTATTTTTTCCCATTTACCATTGATCTCAATGTCCTTAACTATTTTCTCCTTCAAAATTTTTTCCAAGACCTTGCATACTACAGATGTCAAAGTAACAGGCCTGTAGTTACTGGACCACTTTTTTTCCCTTTCTTAAAAATAGGAACTGTGTTAGCAATTCTCCAGTCATACGGTACAACCCCTGAGTTTACAGATTCATTAAAAATTCTTGCTGATGGGCTTGCAATTTCATGTGCCAATTCCTTTAATATTCTTGGATGAAGATTATCTGGGCCCCCCGATTTAGTCCCATTAAGCTGTTTGAGTTTCGCTTCTTCCTCAGATATGGTAATATCTACCTCCATATCCTCATTCCCATTTGTCATGCTACCATTATCCCTAAGATCCTCATTAGCCTCATTAAAGACTGAGGCAAAGTATTTGTTTAGATATTGGGCCATGCCTAGATTATCTTTAACCTCCACTCCATCCTCTGTGTTTAGCGGTCCCACTTCTTCTTTCTTTTTGATTCTAAAGGATTGGCAACAGCGTGATTTGTGGGTAAGATCTGATTTGTATATTGACCTGGGTCTGGGGCTTGGTCCTTTGGATCGAGAGAATGTTTTTTCTTTTACTGGGGTATTGGTTTTCATAACCATTCGTCCCCATAACGAGTGGCACTGGTGTTGATACTGGGAAACTGGAGTGTCTAAGGGTATGTCTACACTATGAAATTAGGTCAAATTGATAGAAGTCGTTTTTTTAGAAATCGTTTTTAGTTTATTGTGTGTGTCCCCACACAAAATGCTCTAAGTGCATTAAGTGCATTAACTCGGCAGAGTGCTTCCACAGTACCGAGGCTAGAGTCGACTTCCGGAGTGTTGCACTGTGGGTAGCTATCCCACAGTTCCCGCAATCTCCGCCGCCCATTGGAATTCTGGGTTGAGATCCCAGTGCCTGATGGGGCAAAAAACATTGTCGCGGGTGGTTCTGGGTACATGTCATCAGGCCCCCGTTCCTTCCCTCCTTCCGTGAAAGCAACGGCAGACAATCGTTTCACTCCTTTTTTCCTGTGCAGACGCCATACCATGGCAAGCATGGAGCCTGCTCAGCTCACTGTCACCCTACGTCTCCAGGGTGCTGGCATTGCTGCACAGCAGCAGCAGCAACCCATTGCCTTGTGGCAGCAGACGGTACAATAGGACTGGTAGCCATCATGGTCATGTCCGAGGTGCTCCTGGCTGCACATGGGTGCAGGGACTACATTAGGAGTGACTCGACCAGGTCACTCTCTTTAGTCCTGCAGGCAGTCCTATTGTACCATCTTTTGGTGGGCAGGCAGGAGATGAGGATGGCTAGCAGTCTATTGTACCATCTTCTGCCGAGCAGCCAAGAGATGTGGATGGCTTGCAGCCCTTCTGCACTGTCTGCTGCCAGCCAAAGTTGTAAAAGATAGATGGAGTGGATCAAAACAAGAAATAGACCAGATTTGTTTTGGCCTGCTAAACCCAGGGTTTTGAGTTCAATCCTTGAGGGGGCCATTCTGTGTGACAGTTGTTTTTGTTTCTCCTTGATATAAAGCCACCCTCTTTGTTGATTTTAATTCCCTGTAAGCCATGTCGTCAGTCGCCCCTCCCTCCATCAGAGCAACGGCAGACAATCGTTCCGCACCTTTTTTCTGTGCAGACGCCATACCACGGCAAGCATGGAGCCCGCTCAGATCACTTTGGCAATTAGGAGCACGTTAAACACCACACACATTATCCAGCAGTACATGCAGCACCAGAACCTGGCAAAGCGAAACCGGGCGCGTAGGCGACGTCAGCGCAGTGATGAGAGTAATGAGGACATGGACACAGACTTCTCTCAAAGCATAGGCCCTGGCAATGCAGTCATCATGGTGCTAATGGGGCAGGTTCATGCCGTGGAACACTGATTCTGGGCCCGGGAAACAAGCACAGACTGGTGGGACCGCATAGTGTTGCAGGTCTGGGACGATTCCCAGTGGCTGCGAAACTTTTGCATGTGTAAGGGCACTTTCATGGAACTTTGTGACTTGCTTTCCTCTGCCCTGAAGTGCATGAATACCAAGATGAGAGCAGCCCTCACAGTTGAGAAGCGAGTGGCAATAGCCCTGTGGAAGCTTGCAACACCAGACAGCTACCGGTCAGTCGGGAATCAATTTGGAGTGGGAAATCTACTGTGGGGCCTGCTGTGATGCAAGTAGCCAACGCAATCAAAGATCTGCTGATATCAAGGGTAGTGACCCTGGGAAATATGCAGGTCATAGTGGGTGGCTTTGCTGCAATGGGATTCCCTAACTGCGGTGGGGCCATAGACGGAACCCATATCCCTATCTTGGCACCGGAGCACCAAGCCGGCGAGTACATAAGTCACAAGGGGTACTTTTTAATAGTGCTGCAAGCACTGGTGGATCACAAGGGACATTTCACCAACATCAACTTGGGATGGCCGGGAAAGGTACATGACGCTCGCATCTTCAGGAACTCTGGTCCATTTCAAAAGCTGCAGGAAGGGACTTTATTCCCAGACCAGAAAATAACCGTTGGGGATGTTGAAATGCCTATATGTATCCTTGGGGACCCATCTACCCCTTAATGCCATGGCTCATGAAGCCGTACACAGGCAACCTGGACAGTAGTCAGGAGCTGTTCAACTACAGGCTGAGCAAGTGCAGAATGGTGGTAGAATGTGCATTTGGATGTTTAAAAGCACGCTGGCGCAGTTTACTGACTCGGTTAGACCTCAGCGAAACCAATGTTCCCACTGTTATTACTGCTTATTATTGCTGTGCGCGCCACAATATCTGTGAGAGTAAGGGTGAGACGTTTATGGCGGGGTGGGAGGTTGAGGCAAATCGCCTGGCCACTGGTTACGCGCAGCCCGACACCAGGGCGGTTAGAAGAGCACAGGAGGGCGCGGTGCGCATCAGAGAAGCTTTGAAGACCAGTTTCATGACTGGCCACGCTACGATGTGAAAGTTCTGTTTGTTTGTCCTTGATGAAACCCCCCGCCTCTTGGTTCACTCTACTTCCCTGTAAGCTAAGCACCCTCCCCTCCTCCCTTCGATCACCACTTGCAGAGGCAATAAAGTCATTGTTGCTTCACATTCATGCATTCTTTATTAATTCATCACACAAATAGGGGGATAACTGCCAAGGTAGCCTGGGAGGGGTGGTGGAGGAGAGAAGCAGCGGGAGGGGTGGTGGAGGAGGAAAGGACAAGGACACACAGCACTTTAAAAGTTTAAAACTTTAAAACTTATTGAATGCCAGCCTTCTGTTGCTTGGGCAATCCTCTGGGGTGGAGTTGCTGGGTGGCCGGAGGCCCCCACACCGCATTCTTGGGCGTCTGGGTGAGGAGGCTATGGAACTTGGGGAGGAGGGCGGTTGGTTACACAGGGGCTGTAGCGGCAGTCTGTGCTCCTGCTGCCTTTCCTGCAGCTCAACCATACGCTGGAGCGCATTAGTTTGATCCTCCAGCAGCCTCAGCATTGAATCCTGCCTCCTCTCATCACGCTGCCGCCACCTTTCAGCTTCAGCCCTCTCTTCAGCCTGCCACCTCTCCTCCCGGTCATTTTGTGCTTTCCTGCACTCTGACATTGTCTGCCTCCACGCATTCGTCTGTGCTCTGTCAGTGTGGGAGGACAGCATGAGCTCAGAGAACATTTCATCACGAGTGCGTTTTTTTCACCTTCTAATCTTCACTAGCCTCTGGAAAGGAGAAGATCCTGTGATCATTGAAACACATGCAGCTGGTGGAGGAAAAAAAAAGGGACAGTGGTATTTAAAAAGACACATTTTATAGAACAATGGGTACACTCTTTCACGGTAAACCTTGCTGTTAACATTACATACATAGCACATGTGCTTTTGTTCCAAGGTCGCATTTTCCTCCCCCCACCACATGACTAGTCCCTCCCCCCTCCCTGTGGCTAACAGCGGGGAACATTTCTGTTCAGCCACAGGCAAACAGCCCAGCAGGAACGGGCACCTCTGAATGTCCCCTTAAGAAATGCACCCTATTTCAACCAGGTGACCATGAATGATATCACTCTCCTGAGGATAACACAGAGAGATAAAGAACGGATGTTGTTTGAATGCCAGCAAACATACACTGCAATGCTTCGTTCTGCAATGATTCCCGAGTACGTGCTACTGGCCTGGTGTGGTAAAGTGTCCTACCATGAAGGACACAATAAGGCTGCCCTCCCCAGAAACCTTTTGCAAAGGCTTTGGGAGTACATCCAGGAGAGCCACAAATGCCAGGGCAAATTAATCATTAAACATGCTTGCTTTTAAACAATGTATAGTATTTTAAAAGGTACACTCACCAGAGGTCCTTCTCCTCCTGGCGTGTCCGGGAGGCAGCCTTGGGTGGGTTCGGCAGGTACTGGCTCCAGGTCCAGGGTGAGAAACAGTTCCTGGCTGTCGGGAAAACCGATTTCTCCGCTTGCTTGCTGTGAGCTATCTACAACTTCATCATCATCATCTTCCTCGTCCCCAAAACCTGCTTTTGTGTTGCCTCCATCTCCATTGAAGGAGTCAAACAACACAGCTGGGGTAGTGGTGGCTGAACCCCCTAAAATGGCATGCAGCTCATCATAGAAGCAGCATGTTTGGGGCTCTGACCCGGAGCGGCCGTTTGCCTCTCTGGTTTTCTGGTAGGCTTGCCTCAACTCCTTAAGTTTTACGTGGCACTGCTTTGGGTTCCTGTTATGGCCTCTGTCCTTCATGCCCTGGGAGATTTTGACAAATGTTTTGGAATTTCGAAAACTGGAACGGAGTTCTGATAGCACGGATTCCTCTCCCCATACAGCGATCAGATCCCGTACCTCCCGTTCGTTCCATGCTGGAGCTCTTTTGCAATTCTGGGACTCCATCATGGTCACCTCTGCTGATGAGCTCTGCATGGTCACCTCTGCTGATGAGCTCTGGCCAGCGTGGCAAGCTGCAGGTGACCATGCAAACAGGAAATTGAAATTCAAGAGTTTGCGGGCCTTTTCCTGTCTACCTGGCCAGTGCATCTGAGTTGAGAGCGCTGTCCAGAGCGGTCACAATAGAGCACTCTGGGATAGCTCCCGGAGGCCAATATCATCTAATTGAGTCCACAGTACCCCAAATTCGACCCGGTAAGGCCGATTTAAGCACTAATCCCCTTGTCGGAGGTGGAGTACGGAAATCTATTTTAAGAGCCCTTTAAGTCGAAAAAAAGGGCTTCATCATGTGGACAGGTGCAGGGTTAAATCGATTTAACGCTGCTAAATTCGACCTCAAATCCCAGTGTAGACCAGGGCTATGGGAATTGCTTGTGTGACTTGTGGTTAGCCAGTGGGCTAAAACTGAAGTCTTTTCTGTTTGGCTGGTTTGGTCAGCCTTGGGCTGTAACTGCCCTGCTTTACGCAATTTGTCCTGAATTGACACTCTCAGTTGGGTCCCACCAAAACCAACATCGTTACACTGGTTAAATTCCCCTCACCCTCCGCTTACCTGTGCAAGATCTGAACAGATACCAGGACAGGCGCCCAGCACAGCGGTGACCCTCGGCCGGCCCAGCCCTACAGGCCTTGGACAAGCTCGCAATTTGCCCCCCTACACGCAGCCCTGGTGGCCTGACTGGAGCTGCCCCCATACAGAAGTCAATCTAGGCCTATGTGTGCGCTCCCCAGGCCAGGAAATCGGGGGTGGAGGTGGAGGATGGGGGGGCTGTGCGAATAGAAAGCCAGATTGCGCAGCACAGCCCAAGCCCGCCTGCCCCTGGCCATGAGCCACAATGGGGCAGCAGCTGCTAAGGGATGCGGGAGGGGCTGAGTTACTGGCGGCCAGGTGGGGAGGGCAGATGGAAGTGTGGGGAGGGGCCGGTCTGACGGAAGCAGCCACCCATCTCTGCTGAGCTGGGGCCAGTCAGGCTCCACTCTCAGACCCCCCTTCCCATATGTCACGCTAGGGCTCTCAACTCAGGGAACAGCCTGAGTGGGGTCGGAATCCAGGAGTCCTGCCTCCCAGCCCCCATCCCCCATTCTAACCCACCAGACTCCACTGCCCTCCCAGTGCCAGGCATAGAACCCAGGAGTCCTGCCTCCCAGCTTCCCCCGCTCTACCCACTAGACCCCACTGCCCTCCCAGAGCCAGGGATAGAACCCAGAAGTCCTGCCCCCCCATGCTATAACCACTAGACCCCACTGCCCTCCCACTGCCAGGGATAGAACCCAGGAGTCCTCACTCCCCGTCCCTGCCCCTGCTGTAACCTCTGGACCCTACTTCAGCAGCCCCTGGTCCTGCACCCAGGCTTACATTTCTCCTGGACTCTGCTCCCAGCCCTGGAGGGAACGGCCAACCCAGTAGCCTCCCACAGCAAACGGGTGGAGAAGGGGGAAACCTGCCATGCAGTCTAGCATATGCATACACCCCCCACACACACATAAAAAGACCTGTATCAAGGCAGAGACCCAGCAGGGCACTGGGGTGCGGGGAATGCTTGGGGGTTGTGTAACAGGGAGACCTGGAGCCAGGTGAAGGGATGGTGAGAGACGGGAAGGATGTGTATGGGGAGAAGGAGTGATTGGCTGAGTCGCTGACCAGACCCCCCCACCCCACAAATACAGCCCCCCAACAACTGAAGCAGACCCTCCCCTCCCAGAGTCCATCTCCAGCCCTGCCCCAGAGGCCCTGCCTGTCCCTTGTCCAGGCACCTCTGCGTGCCGGGTCTCTTCTCTCCTCACGTCCCTGCATGGAGCTCAGAGCTCTGTACAATGGAGGCCAGCAGAGCTATGAGGACACTGAGGCACAGGGCAGGGAAGTGACTGGCCAAAGGTCACCTAGCAGCCAAATGGGGAACAGACTCCCAGGGTCCCAGGTCCATGCTCTAGTCCTGCCACCCCCTTCTCTCTATGATCTGTCCAGCCCACACTGAATCTGGGGGTCCCATCCCAGTGGGGGGGGATCTGTGGCCATATCTCCCTGTGGGGCAGGTGAGGGGGCCAAATCCCTGGGGACTGGGCATCCCCGATGCCCCTGGCACCATGGGCAGCTGAGCTGGGCTTCTCTGGCAGGGGCACAGGGACCTCCCTAGCATGGCTCTGTGCGTTCCCATCCGCCCGCCTGGCCTCTCCAAGGAGCCTGTCTCCCAGGCGGCTGGGGGAGCTGCCATGGGGCCCGCAGCCCATCAGTGCAGCCTGCGCAGTGTGATGTGGCAGGTGAGAGCATCTCTGGCCTGGGGCCCTCCGCATCTGGGAACACAGCAGGGACTCGTGTGTGTGTGTGCACGAGCATGTGCATGTCCCTGCTTGCGCTGCGGGTAGAGCCAGCATTCACAAGTGTGCAAGTATCTGTGTGGCTGGTGCTGAATTTGTGGCTGTGTGCATGTGTCAGTGTGTTTGTGAATGGTTGTGTGTGTGTGTGTGCAAATGGTTGTGGGGGATGTTATGTATGAGCGATTGTTGTTTCCTGAGCACAGGCAGTGTGTGTGGTTTGTGCAATGCGTGCTGAGGAAGATGTGGTGCAGTGTGTGAGTGTGCACGGTGTGCAGAGGGTGAGTACAATGGGATGTGTGTGTGCAGAGGGTGTGTGATGAGTATGTGTGCACGCACAGTGTACAATGCGATGAGTGTGCTGCAGTATGTGTATACAGTGTGTGCGCGCAGATCAAGAGGTCTCTGAGGCCAGGGCACGTGGACCGGGCTGTCACCCCCTGTGCCCAGCACATCCAGGGTCACTCACTCACTGGGGCGAGACGCAGACTCTGGGGACTGGCTAGACCTGGTGGGTCAGGGAGGGAGAGACCCCAGCTAACTCTGCAAAACCATCACTCCCCACCCCCAGGCTTCCCCCAGCACTCACCCAGGGACAGGACCCGGACTTGGGTATCAGGGGGCTGCAGGTGGGGAGTGAGGGGCACTGGCAGAGCTGGGGGGGAGAAGGGCTGGGTTAGCAGGGGGCTACAGGTGAGGGTTGAAGGGCACTGGCAGAGTTGGGGGGGCAGGGCTGGGGAAGCAGCGGCTGTGGGTGAGGGATAGGGGGGCACTGGTAGGGCAGAGGGCTGGGGTAGCAGGGACTGCAGGTGGGGGTTGGGGGTACTGGTAGGGCAGAGGGCTGGGGTAGCAGGGGCTGCGGGTGAGGGTTGGGGGCACTGGTAGGGCAGAGGGCTGGGGTAACAGTGGCTGCGGGTGAGGGTTGGGGGCACTGGTAGGGCAGAGGGCTGGGGTAGCAGGGACTGCAGGTGGGGGTTGGGGGCACTGGTAGGGCAGAGGGCTGGGGTAGCAGGGGCTGCGGGTGAGGGTTGGGGGCACTGGTAGGGCAGAGGGCTGGGGTAGCAGGGGCTGCGGGTGAGGGTTGGGGGCACTGGTAGGGCAGAGGGCTGGGGTAGCAGGAGCTGTGGGTAAGGGTTGGGGGCACTGGTAGGGCAGAGGGCTGGGGTAACAGTGGCTGCGGGTGAGGGTTGGGGGCACTGGTAGGGCAGAGGGCTGGGGTAGCAGGGGCTGCGGGTGAGGGTTGGGGGCACTGGTAGGGCAGAGGGCTGGGGTAGCAGGGGCTGCGGGTGAGGGTTGGGGGCACTGGTAGGGCAGAGGGCTGGGGTAGCAGGGGCTGCGGGTCAGGGTTGCGGGGCACCGGCAGAGCTGGGGCGGGGATCAGGGCTGGGCTAGCAGGGGCTGCGGGTCAGGGTTGTGGGGCACCGGCAGAGCCGATCTCTGGGCCCACAGGACAGGCCTCCCCTGCTCACCCCGCCGCTGAGCTCAGCGGGCGCCAGGAAGGCAGATCAGAGCCGCTGCCTGTTCCCAGATCAAAGGCCCCTGGGCTCCTGCAGCTGAACAGGGCCCAGCGGGGAGTGGGGCTGGCAGCTGCGGCTCGGATTAACCCTGCGCTGCCCAGGGCCTCTGCCACTCCACCCTGGCATGGGGGCAGGGAGGAGGAGTTAACCCTTGCATGTGGTGAGGGGAAGAAGGATCCCAGCACTGGGCACTGCAGTGGCCAGGCCACAGTTGGGCTTGGTGTGCATGGTGGGGAGTCCCACAGAGGTCTCTTTGGGGCAGGGTCATGGAGGGGAGGGGTGGGATGTACCGGGTGGGAGGGTGTCAGGGTTTCTGAGCCTCCCTATGTCCCTCCAGGCCCAACACAGCAGCATCTGGGCCCCCTGCACTGGCCCCTCAGTGAACACTCTGGGGCATGGCCCCACCAAGATATAGAGGGGAAACTGAGGCACAGGGGATGGGGCAATGTCTGGCCCAAGGTCACACTGGGTGTCTGGGACAGTGCTGGAGATAGAACCCAGGAGTCTGGCTCCCCAGCCTCTCTGGGCTCAGGTTGGTGGGCATGGGGCTGTAGCCATGGGGCATAGGTGCTGGGTGGGCAGGGGTGGGGGCAAGGATTGAGGGAGAGGCATTGCGTCCATGGGTGGGAAGGGAGTTGGGAGTGAGGAGTGGGGTGGGGGAAGGGTAGGGGGATGCTGTTGGGCAGACTGGGGAGCATCTCTGATATGAGGGAGGGGGGAACAAGGGCTGGGGGCGGGGATGGCTAGGAAGTGCCCCTAGATCCTCTGCAGAGCGCCAGTGGTAGGAGGGGGAGGAGGGGAGCCGAACGTGAGGCTGGTATGGGACCATGTGTGGGGAAGGGGGTGGAGCTGATGCGGAGGGAGAGGGGCTGGGGGTGGAGGTGGGGCAGGCTGGGAGAGGGGTTGGTGTGGATGGGGGGCTGACTAGGAGTGGGGGAGGGGATTGTTGTGGGGGAGGGACGGGGCCATCCTTGTGTCTCTTCTCTCTCCTCTGGGTGAGCGGTGCCAGGAGGGGATAATCCAGAGATCGCACTAATCCCCACCGCGGGCCAGGGGGAGGGGCAGAAAGGCCAGACACACAGACACAGACAGATACACAGACACAGGTGGACGCACAGACATAGTCGGATACCTACACAGACACACAGGCACAGGCGGACACACAGACATGCACACATAAACACACACACAGATGGACACACAGAAACTGGCAGATGCATAGACACAGACGGACACCCAGGGGCATACCCAGACCCCAAGGGGTTGCAGATGTCATTGGGGGAGGGGAGGTGGAGACACACAGGCCCTGTCCTCCCCATCTGATCCCCATACCAAGGGCTGTGGGCTACCTGGGCCACCTGGGAAGGCCGTGTGTGTGTGTGTATGTCCCTGCTGCCCCTTGTTGGAGGTGATGTGTGTATGTTTTTAGGGGAGAGGGTTGTGTGTGCAGGATGGGAGATTGTATGGATGTGTGTGTGCATGTGTGGGATGGGTGTGTGTGGGACAAGTTGTGTGTGTGTGTGTGATAGGTTGTATGTGTGCATGCCTGTGTGTGTGTGTGTGCATGTGTGATGGTGTGTGTGTGACCGGGTTGTGTGTGTGAGATTGTGTGTGTGCCTGTGTGATGGTGTGTGTGAGCACATGTGACAGTGCATCATGTGGAGGCTCTATATTTGTGTGGGTGCACATGTATGTGTGATGGTGTGAGTGTGTGTGTGCATGTGACAGTGTCTGGTGTGTGCACATGCATTTGAGTGTGATGGTGTGTGTGTTTTTGTGTGTGCAGACTGTGAGTGTGCATATGTGTGATGGGCTGTGTGTGTTTCTCTGAGTGTAGGCTCTGTGTGGGAGTGTTACAGAGTGTGTGTAGGCTGTGTGTGTGTGACAGTGTGTGTGTGTGACAGTGTATGACAGGGAGGTGATTCTGTGTGTGTAAGCTCTGTGTTTGTGTGTGTGTATGACAGTGTATGATGTGTGTAGGCTCTCAGTGTGTGTGTGTGACAGTGTGTGATGATGTTTGTGTGTTTCTCTGTGTGTAGGCTCTGTGTGTGTGTGCGTGTGTGACACTTAGGGCTCAGGCCCAGCCATGTGTAGCTCTGTCCCTGGTGATTCTATCTGCATGGTTGTGTCACCCTGGCTGACACCGGCTGGGTGTGTGTGGGGGTAGGGTTGTGTGGGGATGGGGGTGCAGGGGCTGATGGAGACGGGGCTGAGCTGGGAGTGGCTGGGTGCATGGGCAAGATGGGTGGGAGGTGGGGCAGAGGTTTGGTGCGTGTGGTCATACGGCAGGAGGGGGGGTGTGGTAGAGGTATGGGGCGGGAACTGCATGTGTT